ACCATGCTGGTTTTGGTTTTTTGTTTTTTCTTCTTCCAGCCCCTCTCTAAGCGTTTGGAACAATTCTGTGGTAGGTCAGGGGTAAGGATCAGGCCAGTCTTCAAACACACTGCTGAAAGTGAGTTACACCCAAAGTGGAGTGAGAAGAGCGCTGTCACCCAGCTGACATGGGAAAGCAAGTTTGCACCCTCAACGCTGGGACATGCTGTGCTTACCAGGACCTTACCTACTTCCATTGTCTTCTCTCTGCCCCAAGGCTTGTAGCTGGTAGGCTAAGCCTTTCTTGGGCTTTTCAGTTTTTGTTTGCTCTTTTGTGAAGGGTTAGTAGGGCTTCCCCTATGCTCTGGTGTCTTTGAAGCTCCACTATACCTGATAGCCCTGTTGTCTCACCACCTATGTAGACAGCAACTGCTTTTGACACACAAGTTCAACTCCACACCCAACTGCAGCATCAGCTGCAATAAAGCTTGCCACCTGAATGTACTGAGATCTGTGCAAAACGTGGAGAGGCTTTCCTTTAGCTCTCCTCAAAAATTAAGGCAGAAGGTGGAAAAGACAGAAGCAAACCTTTGTGCTTCCTCCCCCAAAAGAAGAATGGCGGTTCTGTATTGTATTCGGATAAAAGTTAAGTTGGAACTGTGGGCAAGATATACAAGAAAGTGCCCTTGTGATATTTTCTGTGGAAGTTTCCTCACTACAACTCAGCTTTCCAAAGAATGACATCAGAAAAACACTTTATTACTAAGTGCTGATTCTCTAAATCTGTCTATTATCACCTTCCTCTTACAGGATAGGAATCTCAAGTATTTCTGAGTAAAACTACAAAGCTTCCAGAAGTTTGGTTTTCTTAAACCATAGCAGAGAAGTGAAACGGACTTGAAAAGAACCCTTGAAGTATTTGCCCCCTTGGAAGGAAAGACTATCTTGAGTAAGGGAATTTTCAGACTTATTTGTGTGAAAAAGAGTCAGTAAACCTGCATTAATCCAACCCAAGCTTTTGGTGCTTGAACAGTGCCAGCAGGCACTTCTTCTGTTACTGCAAGTTGAAACTTGAATGCCTACAGTACCAGCAGTGATGATGCTGAAGTGTGACACAGCAAAAATCTGTAGGCAACCACTGGTAGAAACAGATCTAATGAGTCAACAAAAGCCCTGCCTACGCCTGAGATGAACACAGCCAGCTTTCAGGCAGGAATCAGACATGAATTTTATTTTTCATTTTTTTACTAAGTGGGATGTAAGAACTAAAAATAAGCAAAAATAATGATCTCCCATTTTAACCTTGCAAAGATCATAATTAAAATATATGTTATGTTATTAAAATATGCAAAATTTATAATTTAATTATACAATTACACAAGCCTTATAGTCTAATAGCCCCACTGTATGTTTGCATATTTGTGAACAATTGCTTTCTTAAAGCTCACAGTAGAATCATTTACTTGATGCTGGAGAATAAGTTAATTACGGATATCCTGCCTTTGATTAATGGATTTAATAATCACGTTACAGTAGAATTAACTTATTCTTCATGTGCTTACAGCACTAATGATGAGATTCACGAAAGCAACGTGTCAGCAAATAGGATCAGCACCAAAGAACATGCTTGGAGATCCCCGGATTGCCTGTATTGCTGCAAGTCAGCATTTCTGCTGGGAGCCCACAAACAGCATCCAACTATTTTTGGCTAATCTGTCATCATTACTTTCCACCACTTGCCACTCATTTCTATGAAAACAAATTCTGTTTTCAAAAGAGCTGAACGCCGTAACTGAAGCTCAATGTTGAAAACTAAAGGAGAAAAATTATGCTATGAGATTGGTGTATAGTGTGGGATAATACGCATACTCAGTGGCATAGCTATCTCTTATCTGCTGCTACCCAGCATGACAGTCATCTTCTTTAATGCTTCTTTTATGTGCGTGTGCAATAATGTGTAAGGTTTCCCAGTTAGAAACATGTTGAGTCAGCTAAGAAACCTCAAACATGGGTTCTTAATGCATTCTAAGAGATGGAACACTGAAGTTTTGAAACTCAACTTCAACTGTTTAACAAGAGGTACCACTGCAGGATTCAGGGAATAGAAGGGAATTTCATTACTTGGTATTTTGCCATTATTCCTTGCACGGTTCCTGTGTGTGTCTGTGTAGAAAACAGATCTGACAGTCTGGTAGGAACCAACTTCAGAAACCCTGAGTTACGAAAAATTCCTGCTGATACAAATAAATACAAATGAAGATCTGAACCACATTTTGCTTGAAAAAGAAGTACTTCAGGAATCACTAGCAACAGGATTTCAAATTGCATCAGCCATGTACCTCACCTATTACTATGCAAAGTAGAATAAAGCCATACAACTCAGCAGCTTAGCATAACGCTGGCCCCAAGAAGAAAGCAGGAAATGAATAGGAATACAATTTCCTTAACAATTCACTTACAGCAAAATGGAGACTAGACTGCAGTGCTGGTCTTGCTGTTTCACCAGCAATGTTGATCTATTGCTGATTGTGTTTTGTTTTGGAGCCAGGGAGAAATTTAGAATTATGATAATTCAGGACTTAATTCTCAATGCTTTTTTCCACCAAAGCAAGTTTCAGGGCTGAAAGACAAATTGAAATAATGGGTATCTTCTTACTGAACTAGATGTGACAGTGCCTCGGATGTGCCACTCAAACCAGGCTGCGCATCCACCTCTTTTTCCTTGCTTCTCCCTTTCTCCCATTTGCTCAGACTCTGTCACATATCCATCCTAGGTAGTAGGGAGTTACAGCACTGTTTTCAATTCATCACAGCTGGCATTGCTTATGGAAGACATTTTAGTAGGTGTCAGTGTGTACCTCATGTATTATGTTGTACCACACTATTTCACCCCCTCCCTTCACAGCTTCTCCCAGGTGAATTCAGGAATCAGTGGCCAAAATAACTTTCAGCTGCAGAGTCATTACTAAGTGGCAGCTGCTCAAGTAAGGCCTCAGGTATGCCCACTTCTTATTTTGTAGGTGGATCCACCAAGAACTCAGATTACGTTACTGCATAATGCACAAAATATTTTCAAGGATATTTATGATGGGTTTCTTAAATGCTGGGGCACAGAAAGTACTTCTTGGTACACTGATGTTCTACAGCCCTCACATCACATTTCATGTGTCATCTGAAATCTGGGGAGAACAGTCTCCAATGTGGTGTTAGCAGCATTCCTTTATTCCTAATTATACATACGGGATGACTTGACAAATCAAGTGCACTAGTTTTACATTTAAAAAGTTAAGATATGTATATGTGATACATTGGCATGTATATTCATTCTTTTCCAAGAACTCATTAATATAAGCTAATGTTCCTCTGGGTATGTGTGGTAGTGGCCTCTGGTGGTCATTGCCTGCTTACTTTCTCCTCATTTGTCCATCATCAGCTTCATCACTGTGACTGTTGGCTGACTTTTAGCTGCTTTTCCCCGTTTTGGCAAATTCCTATTGTGTGTAATGCCTGAATGAGCAACTTTCTATCTTAGTGCACTATAACCCAAAATAATACATGTAAAATGCAAGAAAAAAGTCCTTGCACCTGGTGGATGCAAAGATAAAAGTAGTCTGTTGTGACTCTAGAGCTTCGGTGAAGCAGGATCATTGCGAAAAACAAGGCTTCACTTTGTATGTATTGTTTCATCTCCACAAACATTTTTTACTTTATGAGTCTTGGCAAATCCTTATCCTTTAGTTACTCCTTCCCTACAGATGCAGAAACAATAAAATAGACAGTGATGAGTAGACTCTATAATGCAAATCTAGATGTCCAATAAGAATTTGACAAGGAAGTGTGAAATAAAACACATTAAACAGAGTAAGAAAGTGGGACAAGAAATCAATTTCCCATTAAGCTCACTGGTTATTTTTTTTTTTGCTGCTTCTCAATGTTAAAAGCATCAATTACATACATACCATATTCCTTTGTAGTCTTATTCTCTGTTCAGAATCAGCATACAGTGCAGAAAATGAATTAGGCCAGGCATCACTCAGCATTGACAAGGGCCCTGCAGGTCACTCCAGACTGGCTTGAATATTTCCCATATAATACTGGGAAATTGCATTATATGCAGTCTGGGAGAGGAAAGTGATCTTAAACCATTTGAGGCACGAGTGATGTAGAAGGTAAGAAGCTGAACCTGGGAAAAGCCATGGATATGTTTTGGAGGGAAAGTAAACACACTTCCCTACAGGAATTGCCTTTATGGATGCAGCTAAAAGGTGTAAGCCTTATACAACAAAATGCTTCACTCACGGGGCTTAAGTCACAGCACCATGGACATAAAAGGAGAAGAAAAAGCTACCTGTATATAACATTTCGGACAAGTAGGTACAAGTGTGATTTCTCTCTCATTTGCTCTTTCTTAACAGCATCTTATGCATATGTCTTGAAAATGTTGTCTTGAACTAACAAACACACAAAGACGTTTGCAGGCAGTGGTAGTGAGCCATGTTTGCAGATTCTCTAAGTCCAGCATGCTTCACCTCTACTTCCAACAGATAGTAAGGTGCATCCCACTGAGCTGCATATAGTTTGAACAGTGGTAACTGAAGTTTCTTGGGACCGTGAGGAAGGGGGACTTTCTGATATGAGGCAGGATGCTAAGGAGCATGCCTAAATCGCCAGGTCTATGCAGAAAAGCACAACACTTGGTTAGAAACAACTGCACATCCATCTCCCTACACCGGCAGAAATTTAGGCACAAATGAAACGGAGAAGAAATCACCGTAACTTCTTTCATCATCCTTCATGAATCAATGGTGTAAACACATCTTAAGAAACACAGGCAGAAAAGTGCTCTGAAAAAACAAGTGACGTATCTAACTTCAGCAAAGCCTTTTTCTGGTACGACTGAAGATGCAGCAGCTTGCTTACGTTGGCACATGTCCTGCATCACTCGGACTTTGTTTCAAGATCCAAACATGTGGACTGCATTATTTTGGATTGCAAACCACAGACACCCATAAATACTGAAAAAAAGATAAATGGACAGAGAACAATGGGTTCTTTACTGGGTCTAAGCACCCATACTCTCAAATCCAAGACTTCAAAGTCAGTTTCAGATGTCCTGGCTTGTTACTTGCTTGTAAAGAGCCTGTAAGTAAATTTCTAATTCATAAACCTCTAGATAAGATCATTAAAAGGTGAAATTTGGTGCTAAACCTTGTTCTAGTCTCTAGAGTACCAGCTGAGCTCCAGGGTGCTGGTAACATAGATGCTACTTTCTGTCCACTTCTATATATTTTTTTTAACCTCTTTTAAAATAAAATACTCTTACTGGTTAATTTCTTCATTTTGCACTAACTTATGCTGTTCCCTTTTCTACACAGCTGCAACATAATGTTGTTTCAGTAGAGCAATGCTTTGCAAATTTGGCTCAAGGAGACAATGAGCAAACAGCTTTTCAGAGAGCTGTCAGAAGGGGCAGTTTGGTTTCCATGCAAGCAATACTCACATTCCAAACTGCATTAGGGAAAAGCTGGTGGGTTTGTATGCATTTTTATTATCAATTCCAGATTAGGAATCTGATGCTAATTTCTTCTTAAAGCCTGTGCTTGCAGGAGAATTTATATTCTAAAACAAAAAAGGATTGTGACGTTTTTCTCTCACAAGCTCTTTTTTTTTTGCCCTGGCTTTACTCCAAGGACCTTTTCTGCTTGTTCGTTACATTCTCAAGATGAAGCCCCCGGTGGTTACAGCAGTGCTGGTAGTACTGGTGCAGGTTTCTCAGAGTTTCCCTGCCTTGTACCACCGAGGCTGGTGGAGGCTCTTAAAGGAAGGAGATAGCTGTGGAAAATGTGATTTGGCACTTTGCTCTGAGCCAAAAGACTGTCTGGCTGGGACCGTAGTGGACCACTGTGGCTGCTGTTCTGAATGTGGGAATGTGGAAGGTCAGATCTGTGACTTGGACCAGGGCAATCATTTTTATGGGCAGTGTGGGGATAACCTCGAGTGCAGGTTGGATGCCGATGAAGCCAGGTTTGGGGAAGTCCCTGAACCCCAGTGTGTGTGCAAGTCTCAAGAAAGCATCTGCGGATCTGATGGGAAAACCTATGAGAACATCTGTCAATTCAACAAGGCTTATGCAACTAAAAGAAATATCAGCATGAAACACAAAGGACCATGTGAATCAGGTAAGTTATTTTCGAACTAAAAAAAGATGCCATTCTGATTCTGCAACGTGTTACTAGATGCCAGTCTTAACTTCAATGAACTAGTGCTGCATTTTTGTTCTACTTATCATTATTCTGTTGCAATACTACTTTGTGTTAACTGTGGTTCAGTAGCTTAACTGAAGCTTAGCTTCAGTAACTTAATCTTGTGTGTAATAAGCCTCTGCATTTGCTTAGTGGATCTTATATCACATGGCAACTAGTAAGGCACAAATCTGTGGTCCAGATCTGTACTAAAAAAGCAGAATATGAGATATTTTTCTACAAAAATTGTATGTGTAATTGGGAGTAGATGAACAGATAAAATAGTCTGGGAGGACTGGGCAAATTATTATATGAAGACTGACATCATATTGAAACAGTGATGAGAAAGCAGACTTCATTCATGTGCATGTATCTGTATGTATGTATAGACAGTGGTGAAGTAGAGGAAAAAGAAGATAGGACTTAATTAATAGATCTATGTATGCTTTTTACAAAAACATCCAAAGCAATCTAATTAATGAATCACAAAATCGAGGTACCTATGAAATAGAAATCCATATATTAGGATAAAATCAAACAATTTTATTAAAGATACTTACAGTGAATAAATGCCCCTCCATGGTGACTGTTAGTGGAAGGACTTGTCAGGCTGTAAGAGGGAATACTGTCTCCTGCTCATGTGCTGCTCTCATTCTTTACATTATTACTCCGGGCACCTTTCACCTAAAACAGGTGAATATAGAATTAAAATGTTTTCACTCTATAGAAGGAAATATTTTCTCAAATATCAGTGAAAGAGGCTTCTGAGTCACAAATAGGTCATACTTCAGAATCCAAAATTGTATCTCTGGCAAAGGTCTGCATATGAAAGTAACTCAGGTGCACGTTACCCATTCCTTGCTGGCAATCTATTGCTTCCAATTTGGACCATATGCTGCACTCTTATATCGAATGGACACTGGATATTGAGTGCTTAAAAGGAAAAGTGATGAGTAGCTAAAACCAGACTTCTTCTCGTTTTCTCTAGTCGCAAAAGAAGCATCCATTAGAGAATCACTTATTTGCCATTAAGGTACTAAGCTGGGAATTAAGACTTGTCTGTAGAGACATTCAGGAAACTCAGTGCACAGCAGCTCATAGTATGACTGAAAGCCTGCTTGCCCTTAGCTATGTTTTCTTATCTGGCATTAAAATAGCACTAGTTCTGGCAGCATAATCCTTTCAGGGACGTTTCAGTTGGAAGTGCCATTCAAATAGCTACTGATCTAAGCCTGTGTGCCTGAACACCTTAAAGCAATGTTTTGTTCTAATTAATAAAACAGACCCAGCCAAAAAGCTTCATTTGGCCTTGGAGCTACCTCTGAGGTGTGTAATGCTGCTCATTAAGCACGATGAACAAGATCAGCTTCTCCACACAAAGGCATTACCACCAGTGTCTATTTTACCACTTCCCTTGGTCCCCAGAAAGGCTGGACCCTCTCTCCAGAAATACTGAGACATTTATTAGGATGACTCAGCTTACTGAACTGCACAGATGCCTGGGCATATGCTCATAACCATCTCAGTGCTGTGCAGAGTTTATTTAAGAAAATAAATCACCTTGGCTCCTGCAGAGAGAAGCATGCAGCTGGCGTCCAAGCCCAGTGGCATCTGCACTTGGGCCTGTGGTGTGTGCTGGGGCAGCAAGGAGACAGAGCAGCAGTGCCCCTCTTCTCACTTCTCAGAGCAGCTACCATTCTGTTCCTGGGCTGCTTTTGTAGGCTGTATTTAGGACATGAAAGGAGCCTGGGCCACAGAGGTGTTACCATATGGGCACCATGTCTTGGTCCTCCATAACAGCCTACCAGTAAACCCCCTCTCCTTGCCATTGCAGCTACCCAAAGCATGCAGTGGGCATGTGAAAGTGCACCGTGATTTATGCTATTTCATGGCAGTGGCCAATGACAAAAGGCAACAGGGAGCCTGGCTCCAACAGCAGCAGCTTCCTCACCATGGAGCTTGCTTTCCACTGACTGCAATTTGCATGAGAAATAAACACTGAACACTGTGGGGTTTTGGTACCAATCTATAAATACAACCTTCAGTCAACTCCAAGTACTTTGTTTTGCTATTTTTCCTTCAAAGCATCTGCTGTTTCCTATTGATGCCAAAAGGATTAATTGTATACAGCAAGCGATGAATAAATAAATAACAATAAACTCCTTTCATCAGAAGAGCACAGCCTTTTATCTTTCATCTCTAACCAGAAAAAGGGGAAGAAAAAGGCCTAGCTCCCTAAAGTAACCCTGAAAGGAAGCCTTTCTCTTTCTAAATGCTAGTTTTGATCGGTTTATCTAATAATTTACCAAGGTTACTAAGTACAGTGATTATATACAGATTCTCCACGCTTAATCTATCCCCATTCAGAGCCTTCCTGCTGATAACTTAATGAGGTAACAGAACCAGCAATGCTTCTCTCTGTAATTAGCCGTATCGCATGAGAACATAAAATCTTAAATTAAACGTATAAAGTTAAAAACAAACAGTAATTCAACGTTTAGAGTAAAAAAGAAACAAACACAAAAAACCTCTAATCCACCAATTTTTCTGCCATTTTCATCAGCTCACATCCAGGTTAACAAGAATGAATACGAATTAAGGAACAAAAACCTGTGATTACACAATTGTCTGGTTTGGCTAAAGGCAATTAAGAAAGGTGAAGCAGTATTTTGACTTTTCCTGGCTTGTGGGCTTCTGGCTTATGTATTCTGTAACACAGGAGGATAGTTTATATGTGAATTGTCTGAGGCAAGGCACAACTGCTGTGCATTCACTTCTGTACACAGAGGCAACACAACACCGTCTGTAATTATTAAGAAGAACTTCCCTGTTTTAAAAAACTGGTTATCATACCAGCAGAGACTTGCTTTTACAGCACACTTTTGCAAAACAAGCAAACAAACACCATGCAGATGCAGATGGGAGAATTTGGCTGAACGTAAACTCTGAAACACTCAGGAAGTTTGTAAACTTCTGATAAGTCGTAACTTCATCTCTCTGTGTTCACACACAGCAAACTGGTGTTGTAAGACACACGGGGTTTGTAGTATTTATTTCTGGAGGCACTTCAAGTTTGTGTAGATGTCACAAGTGTTTGTTGTGTGTTCAAATCAGAAAAAGCACTTCTGTCTGATCGAAGCTGCAGTCCTCCCTATCCCTGACCAGGCGGCTGCACCATTAGGGGCAGTGCAGATGCTCTGAGATTTAATATTTCACTGTGTGTTACAATGTCTGAGCTGTGCTCATGGACAAAAAACTCCTGTGCAAAATAGCCAGTCGGTGTTGATTGGAACATGGCATTTTTACAAGGAGATACAGGCTCTGAAAGTACAGTTCTCACAAAAGACCAAGCATGTCCAGGCTCAGGTACCCTGCTGAGTTTGAAAACCTCACTTTTAAAGAGTATCGGGAGGGTTTTAAGAGGAATTCATAACTGGGAAGTCGATACTTTTCTGTATAATTGTTTTTCAATTAACTTTAAGCCGTGTGCATTTGATATTTTCAGCACAGGTATCTGTTCTTAAAAACTGACACGTTAGAAACCCTGCTTCAAAACGTGGAGTGAAATGTTGTTATTTTCAGTTGCTGAAGCATAAATATGTGCCTACACACTGGCTGAAATGCTTTGAGTGAAAACATATTGATTGTTTAGGAGAAGTTCCTAAGCATCTGTACAAAATACAACCAGTAATTAAATACAAGTGTAACGGCCCAGAAAATAAATTCTTTCTTTAAAAACTATTATGAAAATAAAAAGAGTAGGAAAACATACCTTAGAAAGAAAACATTTTTCACTGACCAGAAGTGGACGAGAGAAAATGCAATGAGATTTCCAGAACAGCAGAGTTGCAATGATAGTAAAGAAGTTATTTTCTTCTCTGCTACTAAATAACATCATGTCCTGTTAAAAGGGAGTGTGCTGATACATGCTTGTGGATGGATATGTATTTGAAGAGTTCCTGAATGCATCAGGTGATGGTTTATTTAACGTCTTCAAATCCCTGGTCTGGCTCCCTCTCGTGGTTGTTGATAGCTTTTTATTCAGGAAAAAGTGGAAAAGAACAGTTTGAAGAAGCAGTAAATAAATGGATGAGGAGGATGAGCGTAAAATAATGATAGGAAGCAAGTAAGTGGAAATCTAATAATTTCACTAAACTCAAAACCTTATAAAATAATTAATTTCCTTTACTTTTAATGCTTATGTCTCCTAACACAAGGAAATCAGTTGAAATTGATAGCAAGTGAGGATGAACATGAAATCCATGAATGGTGTTACTGAGTTCCATGGGTTACATGGAAGAGGAGGCTTTACAACAAAGCAATTTCAAGGCGATGCACCCACTAAACAAGTTTTGATAAGCTTTAGGTCAGTTCAGCATTTCATCTTTTAAGCTAACCGAATTTCTTGTACCTTCCTCTGAAGGTCTGGATGAGTTACTTGTGCCAGACTGACAGGCCTTGAGTCCAGTCCACAATGGCACAAACTGAACTTTGATCTTAACTTTCATGCCCATGCGCACAGAGAAAGGACAAGCAGATCCTTGAAAACAAGTCTTTAAAATACCTGTTCACACTTCAATGCGATGTGAAGTTTTCTGAGCTTTAAAAGCTGCTTGGAATCTTTTGGTCTTCCAAACATGTGAGGTGGAAAAGTTACCTAAAACAAGGGCTGGTGTTACATCCTTTTGTGTTGGCTTTCGCTCACGGTCTCCTAAAGCAATACTGTTGGGTCTTTGCAGCTCCTGTGATTTCTATGCCACCCCAAGATGTCCAGAATTTCACAGGCAACGATGTCATTTTTGGCTGTGAGGTGTCAGCCTATCCTATGCCACACCTTGAATGGAAAAAAAAGGGGAATAAAATGTTTTTACCAGGAGATGACGCCCACATCTCAGTTCAGGTAAAATGCATTTTTTACATCTTATGGTTTGCAGTGAGGAGTAGGGGGATTTGTTGGTGAAGTTCTCCCACAGCATGCCATGCTGTTGCAATAAACAAATTTCCTACAGGGGCCCTATGATTATGTTATGGATTCTGATTTTGGCCAGTGCAGGGATCATTGCTGTGGCAGTCCAAGCAGAATGAATAATAGGGTGGGTACCATCCGTCCTGCTTCAGGGGAAGGGAAGATTCTCCTTATGTGGGTACAGTTCTTGAGAAACTGAATAGGCTACTGTGAAAAAGAAGGTGCACTCTGAGAAAGATGGCTGTGGGCAGCTATTTTTCTGTTCCTCATGCAGAAGCATCATTCTGGCACATATCTAAAATTAGCCTTTGCAAGATGCTGTTTCTGGAGATGTGCCATCTGGGTCCAGTCCCTGAGGTGTTCAAAAGGAAAACAAAGAAATGTGCTCATTTTATATGGAGGATACTGTGTTTTAGTCTGAAGGGAGATTGGAATGGCATTGGTATGGGCTTTGAGCAAATGCAGAAACAGCCCAAAGGTTGGAGCTAAAATTAAATCAAAACATTAATTCTTTTTAATGGAAATAACGTTCTGGGGGAGAAGAGCTAACAAAGCCAGACACGCTGCAGACTGCAGGAAGGAAGGAGTCTGTACCAGCGTGCCTTCTCCAGTGGACAAAGGATCTGAACAGACTACGACAAATCTAGCTTTCTGGATACACAACTGAAAAGCAGGAAGATTTAGCAGCCGTGGAGCACAACCTGAATAAAATTATAGATAGAAAAAGCATAGGAAAAACCTAATGAAAAGTATTAAAAGTCATTTAGAGTTATTTAGAAATGTATTCAGAGATAGCATGAATGAGTGGGATTAGTGAACTTAACAGTTGCTCAGAAACAACAGTGCAAGGAGCCACATCCAAGCAGTGATCAACTCGGAGGCTAACCTGTTAACCTGTCTCGTCAGTGAGCATGAGAGCATCTCTGTTACCATTTAACTGATTTGTTCTTGTATTATTTGTTTGGAAAACAAAGCCCCCCATTAAAAGGCTTTGGCAGGAGTCAGTCGGTGGAAACTGATTTTGACTAACTACGAAAGCTCATGCTATGTCTGCTAGAATTGGACGCTGAGCTTGGCCCAGGCTCAAATGCCACTCTTATCCTAAAGAAATCGATGAGCTTGAGAGTAAGTGGCAATGCTTTGAAGCTGCAGCAAGAAGTGGTGACAGGACAAGAGACAGGAGGACTGCTGGGATGCAGAAGCAGACCAGGAATCAGAGCGCTGCAGAGGGCAGCAGTTTAAAGATGAAAGCAAGGAATGCATGAACTGAGAGGCACAGAGACAATGAAAAGTTAGAACATATGGCAGCAGAATCAAACACAGAATCAGAGCATGATGGCAGGACATAGTAAACAAAGCAAAATTTGCAGTGATGTATAAATCTGGCCACGATTATTTTTAGAAATATCCTCTTGCTTCCTAACTACCTGACTTCCATTTAATTTTGACTGTTTCTTTCCCTTCTCACAGGCCAGAGGTGGACCTCAGAAGTATGGTGTGACTGGCTGGCTGCAGATTCAAGGCCTCAAAAAATCAGATGAAGGCACCTACATCTGCCATACCAAAAACAAGTATGGTGCAACATACGCCTCTGCGAGATTGAAAGTCATTGAAGGTATATTGTTCCTTTTGATTTTGGCTTGGGTATTTTTTTGATGTGAAGAAAGGAGAAGTGCTTAACAGCCTGCAAAAGGTTTATAACGCAGAAGTGCCTATGAATTCTGGAGGAGAAAAATAATGTTGCACTAATAGCATAATATTATTGCTTCAAATGATATCTCCTTCCAGAAGAAAACAGAATGCTGAGGATTGCAGTCATAGCCCTGAGACACAGTTGCATTATCCTCATCCCACAGAAGCCCTGAGATGTTAGTGGAAGCTCTGAATCCAGAACTGTTGCAGCGGAGGCAGTCCTTGAACCACCGGTTCAGTTTATCTGTTTATCAGTTTATCTATTTATTTATTTATCAGTTTATCTATTTATTTATCTATTCAGTTTGCTTTTCAAAAAGTCAGGATTGAAACTGTACTTTACCCATAACAGTTTGGAAAGATACAAGAAAGAGCTGTGCTGCTGTTTTGCATTGTGCCAGTCCTACCAGCTAGCACGTAAAACATTACGGTCCGGTTCACTCCTATTAACAACTAAATTAATTAGGATTCCATGCTGTCTTGCTGTGCAGGTTCACCTTCTGCTTTTGCCTTAACTGCTGGCAGTAGAAGTGCAAGCTATGACACTGACTATGAGGACTACTATGGCCATTCTGACGATGAGGATGAGGAAGAATATGAATCTGGGGACTATGAAAACTGAAACAGCCCTGAATAACTATTTCTGTACGTGTGTTGTCAGACACCTTTCACACTGTTATATTTACTTGTACTCCCTATGCTGTAAATAGCTTCTCTGATAACACTACACTCATGTGTGCATCCCACCTCCTTGAAATCCAGCTTTGGCTGAAGTGTATCATGATACTTACCTGAAATAAGAACAGTTTGAAGTTCACACATTTAGACTGTTCAATAAAATTCTTAAGCACGTACCCAGTAAGTGCCCTGAAAGGATCCAATTTAATATTAATTTTTTTAAATGTATATTATTCTATAATTTCTTTAACATTTTTAATTTTTTCTAACAACAAAAAAAATGCCAGCAGTTAAACTAAATGTCTAATTTGTACCACTGTCCTATTTTTATTTATATATGTGCCAGACACATGGAGAACCGGTATTTGGGACCAGCAGTAAATTAATGAGAGACTTCAGCAACAAGTAAGGGAGCAAGAGTTCAGGCACCTCAATTTTAACCCTCATTATTTGTAATCTTCTTTATCAAATGCACCAAAACACGCAGTGATTGCTGCACACACCTTGCAGAGTGTTTAAAATGTATATACACTGCATCACAAACACCTCCATTAATGCTGTGCTGCTTTGTGCTTTTCTTTGCCATGAGACATTTTTCTTCAATATAAACTACATCAGGAGATTGGCCATAGACTGCGTTTGCCCCGAGGTATTATTGATCTTTGTACAGGTAAGAAAAGAGCATAGAATAATTTATTTTGGCTCAGAGTTCCTGGAATATTGTCAACTTACAATACAAAGCACAGCACTAGGTCATTGCAAAGATTAGTTAGTTTTAATTAGAGGTATCAAATGACTTCAGATTTAATCACTGATTTTGCTGTTACAGGCTCTTCCTGGTCTTCTTAGTGTTATGTCTAGTAAGCTTTTTGTTTATTCACTGTGTAATGCTTTTAACATAAAATTGTCTGGTAGGAATCACTGTATTTCTAAATGGATGATTGTTAATGTAACTATTTAATCTTCAGACATATGCTCAAGATCAATTGCAATCTGTGCTACAAATGAATGAATTAGATTAGTAAAGCACCCACTAAATTGTGGGCATGAATACTGTGGCAGGGTTACAGCGTGGCACAGCAAAATAATCCTGAAATCATCAGCCATAGAGAATTACCAGTGGTAATTCCTCAGGGCCTTCTGCCATTACTGGTGAAAAGTGAAAAGGAGAAGAAAAACAAACAGTAGTTGAATGAAAAAATGTGTAGCAGAACCATATCCAGTAACAGGCTGCAACTGGTTGGGTGGGTGGACTATGTCTATTGAAAAAGCCTAACCTTTCTATAACAAAGCCTTCTAATTTTTAAATCCATTGCATTTATCTCCAAGAGTTTCTTTTTTTAAAATGTATTTAGTCTTTACTTGTCAATTGAATTTAATCATTTCTTGTCAATTACTTGCTATACCTTCCAATGGGAAAACTGCATGTTAGGGAAAACCCTGATGTAATGCAGGGGAAAGAAAAACAAAAAGAAAAAAAAAGAACATTGATATCCTGACCATTTGCTAATTCTGGTTTTGCGGAGCCAAAAAATGGCTGACTTTGTTTACATGCTTTAATCAGGTCCCTTAAAATTAAATTACAAAAAGGGCAGAGAGGATTCAACCCTCTGTAAGCAGCACTGCAAAGGAATGGCTCTAATTGTGAGTGCACTGCCTGCAGCAACAGATCTATTCACATAATGCAAAGTCACAGCAAACTGAGGAAGTGGGCGTTATTCCACCCAGCAGCAAATGAGATGCAGACTTGAGCTGCAAACCATAGTGGAGGGAAAGCTGCAGGGAGGTCTCACTGCTGTATGTGGTGCGGCAGATTTAAAACATTCCTTTAGCTCAACTTCCTCGGAAGAAGAAATTATTTTGTTTTCATCTTCCATAAGAGCAAGATTGAATTTCATGGCACGGCCTCCTCCCGTCAGTGCCTGTCACACAAGCATCTTCTCCGTGCCATTTCCACCTCCCAAGTAAGGATAAAGGAACTGCATGAAAGCTTCTAAATAAATTACATTCCTTAACACAGATTTGTCCTTAGTGCTAGGACTTTGACACGGTCTGAAGCAGCTTCACAGTCTGACATTCTTACTTGCTATGTTAAATCTCAGGAGCTTGTTAGGTATTAGTCTAGGAATCTGTTAATTCTTTAGCTAGACTTTTTTTTTTGCCTTTGAAATAATCAGTCTGTCGTTAACAGAAATTGCATACAGAAGTGCAATTGCCCACATCTGAGAGATTTAAATGATTACATTGATTAAACCTAGGAAGAAATAGTCACAGTCATGCTGTGCATGCTGCAGAGCGAGCACCACTTGTGTGCCTTGTGGTACGAGCTTTGTGCTTCCAGCTTCTATCTGTGTTCACCTGCTGGACCAGAACTGGGACCAAGGCTGATGAGATACGGGCGGATGTCTCTGGGTAAGAGGCTGCTCAGTGCTGCACAAGGCACAAGCTCCTTCATGCTCAGCAGCCTGCAGTGTCCTTAGCCTGTGCACAGCTTTTCAACTGCTAAACTTATTAACCTCATTTCTTCATGTCTTTGCACAATGTAGTGGCACAGCATACGTAATGGCCCATCACCTGGAGCAGGAGTCACAGTAAGTGCTAGAACTGAAACTAGTCTTTGGGTCAACGTCTTGAAAGGCTGTGTAAGAACTTGCTGGCTTTCTGACCTACATCAGCAAGCTGCTTCTGGCTCTTCAGGCACTTCATGAATCTACAGCATTTGAAAATCTCCCACAGCTGCCACATCATAACTTATGGCTGACTTTCCTCACCCCCCACGTCACTGTTTCATTCCATATTCCTCAGCCTTGGGGATCCCTCTGCTATGATCTGTTCCCCCAGTTCCCTTTGAAATCCCTTTGTTTCCCTTCTGCATATCGTCAGTCCCTGTTGTTTTTTTTCTGGTCCTCTGGCATGCTTTTTTACTTTTCCTTTAGTTTAGACAATGGCTGCAGATAAATGATTCTGCTTCAGCACAGGGTAAGGGATGAAAAAGGGCGCACTGGACTGAAGAGCAATAATTAGGGGACTGAGCAGTCTGAGCTATTTGACTTTCTGAAGCACCAGCCAGTTGTGAGGGCATGGGATCAAGAAACTCCATTTAATAGTTTTTCTTTTTCATTTTGCTTTACTCTCCAGTAATTAACGATATATTTTCTACAAAAGCATGTGATTCAAAGATATCATCATTCAACTGTGATAGTTCATGTACAAAGAAATTACTGTTCCTATCCAGTTAGAGTGTCATAACTGCTTCTTGACCCCACTGCTACAGAGTGATTTCAGCTAAGAATACATCAAATTCACTTTTGTTCTGAAGCAGCTTCCATTCACTCAGTTCTCCCTCATCTCTGGGCTACCAACCTTCACATGAGCATTTCTATAAAGTGAGACAGAGCAGGAGAGAAACAGCAATTCTACACAAACTCCTCCTGTCATCTGTCAAGCAGAATAAAAGTGCCATGGACTACAAATCACTGGGGAGACTGAGCAGGGGATGATCAGACAAAAATCCTTACTCTTAGGTTAAAACATCAAACAACAGTGTGCCCAGTAAGAAGCTCAGCATTTCTTTGTGTATTACGTATGACAATAGTCCGTAGACATTCCGTGGCTGGTTTTCACTGCTAACTTCTCCCCAGCTCATGCTAGTACCACAGTGATACCATTCAATGTTTTTGCTGCCTATTCTCTGTGACGCTTCAGTTGTTGTTACCTCCTTCCTCCCTGTGCTACTGATTCCAGATGCATCTTATGATGCCTGAACAAACACACATTGTTGAGTTTTATTCTAGGTTCAGTTTGGCTTTATGCTACAAAGAATCACTGTTCACTTCAGCAGGACACAGAATACACAAATGCTTCTCATTTTGTCCAATCACAGAATTGTAGGAGTTGGAAGGGACCTCTAGAAATCAGAGTCCAAATCTCTGCTAAAGCAGTTCCCTGCAGCAGGTTGCAGAGGCAGGCACCCAGACAGGTCCTGAATATCTCCAGAGAAAGAGACTCCACAGCCTCTCTTGGCAGCCTGCTCCAACTGCTCTGTCACTCTGACTGTAAAGAAGTTTTTCACGTGAAAAAAAAAAAATTGCTTTGCATGCATATGGTACAGTGTTGTGCATACACGCAGCCTGTAACAACCATGCACTTCACCAATTTCCACTCCAAGACACAGCTCGTGCACTTACTTATCTTTCATGAAAACATCATCTTTTATGAAAATAACCACTCTCAACCTGTTGACAGGAAGTACCCCAGTCTCCAGGTAAGTCACTCCAACAATCCCCAGCGTTGCTTATTTCTGTTGCAAATTTGCCCAACTTCAGCTTATAGAGGTCAGAATGAATGATATCTTTGCCTCCCAAATTCAGCATTCCGCATGAAAGCACACCTTTTCCTATGCAGATACTTGCTCAAATCATAAAACCATAGAAGGGCTTCATGTTAGATAATCTTTGTATTAATCCTCTTGTGACTCTGACTTGTGCAGTACTCACCTCACTGACCTTTAGGGATCTGGATATGCTGGATCACTGGGCAGAGGCAAACAGTATGAGCTTTAATAAGACCAAGTGCTGGGTCCTGCGCTTTGGCCACAACAATCCTGTGCAACACTACAAGCCTGGAGCAGAGCAGCTGGAAAGGAAAGAACCCTGGAGTGTATTAGTTGACAGCTGACTGAACATGAGGCAGCAGTCTGCCCAGGTGGCCAAGAAGGCCAACGTCATCCCAGTTTGTATCAAAAATATTGCAGTCATTAATTAATTAATTAATCAAATGTGGAGCTTGGTGGCCCTGCCTGTGGCGGGGGGTTGGAGTTTCATGATCCTTGAGGTCCTTTCAAACCTGGGCCATTCTGTGATCCCGTGAATCAGCAGGAGCAGGTGATCATACCTCCTCACTGGGCACTGGTGAGGCGGCACCTGGAGGACTGTTCAGAAGATACTGAGGCCCTGGAGTGTGTTCAGAGAAGGGCAACAAAGCTGGCGAGGGGTCTGGAGCACAAGTCTTATGGGGATTGGCTGAGGGAGCTGGGATTGTTCAGTCTGGAGAGAAAGAGGCTCAGAGGCCTTAGCAGCAAGATCCCTAAAACTCTCTTAAAGGAGGTTGTGGTAAGGTGAGTGTCAGCATCTTCTCCCAGGTTAACAGTGAGGGAAGTGCTGGCCTTAAATTGCACCAGAGGAAGTTTAAGTTTCTGAGAAAAAAATTCTTCCTAATATCCAACCTGAACCTTCCTTGCTGCAATTTGAGGCCGTTCCCCCTTGTTCTATCGCTTTGTTGTCCTTCTCCAGATTCGCTCCAGGGCCTCAATGCCTTTCTTTTGAGGGGCCCAAAACTGAACACAGCACTTGAGGTGCAGCATCACCAGAGCTGAGGCCAGAGGGGCCATCACCTCCTGCTCCTGCTGGCCGCACTATTACTGATGCAAGATTCCACTGGTGTCCTTGGCACACTGCTGGCTCACAGTCAGCACCCTCCTGAGCATCACCCCTGGATCCTCCTCCTCTGCACAGCTTCCAGACACTCTGCCCCAGGTCTGCAGAGCTGCCTGAGGTTGTTGTAGCCCAATTACAGGACCTGGCACTCAGTGCTGTTGAACGACACTCCACTGGCCTCAGCCCAGCGATCAGCCTGCCCATGTCCTCCTATCCTCATACGCATTGCCAACTTGGTGCTATCTGCAAAAGCTTCATTATGCAAAGCAAAACAAAAGTCGTAATCACTTCAAGCAGCACCTAGTCGCGGTACCTACTGAAAATCCTGGTCCTTCCAGTCAGCAAGGAGATGCCAAGGTCCAGGAAAGGCAGCCAGCGAGCACCAGCCGAGCTCCGACCGCTCACAAAATGGCGCCCCCTGCGCGCTGCCCCACGCGGACCCGTCAGCGCGAGCCTCCCGCGCGCCCCGCCCAGCGGCCGCCCCGGCGAGGAGCAGCTCGGTGCTGCCTACAGCCTCGGCCGGGCCCGCGGCTCCTCCCCGGCGTTCGGGAAGATGGCCCCGCCCGGCCAGGTCAGTGCGGCGCGACACAGCAGGGTAGAGGGAGTCGAGGGGAGCCGGCCCGATCGCCGGGGGCGGTGGCGGGGCGCGGCGAGGGGCGGAGGGCCGCGGGGTCCGGCGATGCGGGGCGGGTGGCCGGGGAGCGGAGCTGAGGAGAGCGGCTCCGCGCCTTGCGGAGCGGGGTGGGCGGCTGCTTGCCGCAGGTGTCGGGAGGTGGCGGCGGCGGGAGCGGCCGTGTCGGAACGCCCGGGCGGGTGCAGAGTGCTGCTGCCGCTGCCTCCGGGGCCGCGCGGCTACGGGTGGGTTTTCCTGCTCCCCGTGACGGTGCGTGCGAGCCGGCAGCGCTGCGCTGCTTCCTGAGGGCAGCGCTGGGCTCCGCGCCGGACTTGCGGTCCGAACGCCGCAGATAGCCGGTGCCCTGGACGTGTCCGAGGGGGGACGGCTCCAACAACGGGCAGGGAACGAGGCCTCGCAGGGCTCTGTCCGAGATGTCGAGCGTTCCTTCGGACCCGTGTGGCTCCCTGGGTTGGAGCGTCAGGAGCCATCTTAGCGTTGGGTGCTCGGACGCCGTGCAGCGCGCGGCGAGCGGTGCGAGAGCTGCTGCCGTCCCCGCGATCGGCACCGGCGTCTCCGCAGTGCTGCTCTCCCGTGGAACTGAGCGAACTTTCCGCACGGCATGTTTTTCGGTTGATAAATGAAAACGTCTGGGGGAATTTGTCAGTGTTAGCAGAGCTTTAATCGGGAACGTGAGTGGTTTGCTGCCTGTTTGCCGTGCTCCTTGAGCGCCGGCCCGCCGTGTTGCTGCGGAGCCGGGCTGCTGCTGCTTGCGGCCCGTGGTGCTGGGAGAGCTGCCGGGGCTCCTGAGGGCGGCAGCTGCGGCCACAGGCGTCTAGTTAATTTTATTTAGCTGCTTCTTGTAGTTTACAAAAGTGCGATGGCCAGAAGGAAATCAACACCGAACTTTTCTCATGAGGACTGGGATCTCAACGTTCCGCGTTGTGACCAGAAGTGCTGCTTCTTGTGGCGGTCTGCTTCTGACCCACGTCCAGCAGTCGGCACGGCGCTCCTGGGTGCTCTTCAGTGATGCCGTTGCTGTTTTCCTAGGGACGTCTTTCAGCTGTTGATAAGGATTTGAGTAACTGTTGGAAAGCAGCAGTTTCACGTGTTTTTTGTCACGGTCAGAAAGGGACATGTCGGTCTTCTGTTACTTTGAAGGAGATAGAGATGTAGTGTATAGAGCTAGCGTAGACCTTCTTCCTAGTGAAATTGCTCTGCTTAATTTCTGTTGTACTTGAGATGGTTGTATTTGCATGATTCGTGTTGTCTTTCTTGATTTCACTGAGTCAAGGAGAGCTGATGTATTTCCTCAGTGTCACACTTGAGGGGTAACTCAGAGAATCTCTGGCAATTTCCTGACAGTTCCAAGTAGTCTGGCCATACCTCTACCTTCCCTGTGAGGAGCATTATGGTAACATCATCTTGAGGCCGGGTTATTCATATGGAGCATTTCAAAGTGCTCATCAAAGTGCTCATTTCAAAGTGATCATCACTCTCAATTTCCAACAAACAACTTTTCATTGGAAATCATTCTTGTTCAAACTTGCTTAAAAAAAAAAAAAAAAAAGAAAAATCATGGTCAGTTTCCCTCATTATCCTGTGGATGAAGTGTGATCCTTGGCAGTTTTAGCGTGTCTACAAGAAGTTAATTCGTATCCTCAGCTTAGATTTCAGTGTAGCATTAACACACTAAGAGAGTACATCAAGGTGTATGTTTTTAAAATCCACTCTCAGTTCTACTTGTATAAATTATTACTTAATGAGCTCATAAAAATAATTGACTATTTTAATACAAGTTTTATGCTGGTGATTAAGCTTATATCCCAGTTTTCTCTTGGACTTTCCCTGAGCTTGTTGCTAAGGTATCTTTGTCCAGATCTGAAAATCACAGTTCAGATGACTGTGTAGGGTCTCTAACTTCTACTTGTAATGGTGTGATAATCATACATATCAAGTGCTGATGGGATTGCTCCATTTTGGACAGATGCATTGAATTTGTGCTTGAAAACTCTATTTACTGGATATCCTCGTTGCCATGCTTTAGCCTCGTAAGGCATTTGGGTTTTGTGTGTGTGTTGTATTTTATATTTTCCTTAATGTAAATGCTTGTATTTTACGAGTCTTAATTTTCTCTTTAATTGAGATGAATCATACAGTTTTAAATGAGGCAAATCTGGGATTATTACCTGCTCTTTATTTTTTTGTCTGCTTTTCCCAAAATTCTGGGGAAGGAAAAGCAGACAAACAAACAAAGGACATCTCTGTTGAATTCTGTCTGAGATGTATTTAGTCTGTTCATTCCAAATATGCTATTCCTTAAACTTTCTTCAGAGAATAAGTACAGGACTTTTATTTATTTAATTTTTTTTTAATTAAAAAGCAGGGACTCTTGCAAAGTTGTTATTAAAATTCAGAAAAAGCTTGTCAAGACCAAGAACTAGGTGTCTAAAATAGCTCAAGTTAAACAAATGCTAGATTGTACTAAATTAGATCTTCAGGTACAAAATGTAATTTTGGAAGGACCAGAAAAAGGATTTGGTTTTAAATGAAACGGATCAAATACTGCATTAAGCTCATTGGTGTTCTTTTTTCCAGCTCTTTCTAGGCCATGCTCAAATAATAAAATATTGAACACCTACCTTCTAATAACAGGACCGGATCTTGATGAAAGTTCTGTAGGCTTTGGCGAGTGGATGGATACTCAGTGTTTCTGTTCCAAAGGTTCATTTCTCCTGTGAGGCTGGCTCTAGTAGGTGTGAATTGGACACGGGACAGGGGGGTGGTTTGGTTTTTTTCCTTCTCTCTTTCACAAAATGTTCTTTTCAGCTTCGTTGTGGAGAGGAATTTTGGCTTCTCTGTTCCTGCTGTAGCTTCTGAGTTGCCCTATATTTCACTGATGTTTGCACCCACAGATGCAGACTATGTATTTTTTTCCAGATGTAGTAATGTGATGAACAATTAAAACTTTTAAAAATGAGATTTCTCAGAAGTCTTTGAAGCAGTTTAACTCAAACTGTTTACTGTTCATCTTTTCTTCTTTCTTTCTTTTTGGTTTGTTTAACATAAGTGAAGAGTCAGAATAACAGACAATTTGAACCTTACTTTGGTAGCACAGAAAATAAGATGCAGAAGCTTAATTTTCGGCATTCTCTTTGGTTTGTTGGCAAAGAAAGCCTCTTATCTTTTTGTAATTAAAATGTGGATCAACTAGAGAGCTTAGCAGAGATAACAGTTCAAATCGGTGATATGTATCTGGTTTTGTAAACTTTCAGAGGAATCCTTTGTGGGTGAAAAGTCTCCATAGAGGACTCAATTGCGTTCTTTTTCCTAACAGAATCTGGCAAAACTAGAGGTACTGAGTAGCCACCTGTATGATGGAACTATCTAGCACAGCAAATGCAAGCTGAGAACGTGGTCTTGGAGCTTATTAATAGCCCAGATTGTCTTAGCCAGTGCCAGCTTTTGTTAGAACAAAGAACTGTAAGCATCCGAAAGATGTGTTATCCATAAATGTAGTTGTGCTGGTAGAAGTCATGTAGATTTGCCAGCCACAGGCCATTAGCATCTAAGTACAATAATCATTGTGCTTTCCTTTTTTTTTTTTTTTTTAATAGATATTCTGCTTTGTAAACTATTCTAGCAAATTCAGCTTTTTGGAGGTAATCCCTGTAAGGCTGATGGATGATACATTGCATTGGAGATGACTTGGACAAAAGGGAAAGGCATCTAGCTTTCGGTTTCATTACTTCCTGAAGTTTGTAATTGAGGTGCACGTAATCTGTAGAGCCATGTATACCCAGTGTGGTGTAACCTGGTATACATAAACATTACCTGCTCTTATTCCCAGCTGTCAGCTACGATGAAGAAAAATTGTACTAAAAAAGTCTTTCAATTGTTCGTCTGTCAGCTTATAGCACTCTTTTCTCATTACCCAGTTTCATTTTTGATGTTTACCTTCATGATTAAATCTGTGTGAAGCGATAGGAGAGTTGATTCTGATTTGATGCTTCAAGCTGAGTTCAGTACTGGTGTCTGTGTTTTCCAGGTATTTCAGACACATCCTTTAAGACACTCTGAGTATATAATGTATATAATACCATACCATATAGTATATATAATACCATATAATTATTGGGTAACACCTTGGAAGAACCAACCAAACCATCATGCTTAACTAGTTTATTCAGCCATAATGTAATTGTTACAAAACCTGTTTCATAAACAGAATTCATTGTAGAAAAGTATTTAAATATTTACATTTGTCAGCGGTGTGTTGTGCCTGATCCTTTAATTAAAGTTTAATTAATGTAGAGTGTAAGTTGCTTCTGAGGAATCCAGTTTGGGTCAGTGGTTGAGCTCTGGAATGGTTATTTTACTGATGGCCTTGTGAGCTGGGGAGCCGAACAAGAGCAGCAAAGCTGTGCCTGACTATGGGAGCCCACAGTGCATTGCAGATGCTGTGCCTGGATCTGATTCCTTGTGCAACAAACTCAGCGTGAAGTAGTGCTCTAATACACCTTCTGGATCCCTGGTCTGGATGCTGGAGACACACGTAAGAGAAATTCTGTAGGCCCCAACAGCTACACAGTTTATATACGATCTTTGCATTCTTAGTTCTCCTTTCCATGTGACATGTAGTCAACTTAAGCTACATAAATAACTTAGGACTAACAACTTCAGGTACTGAATTACATGTAGGTAAAAAAATTCTTTTGTGGTTGTGTTTGAAGTCAGACTGTGTTGCTGAAACAGACTCTGAATATATATATATGTTTTTAAATTACGTAGCTTTACTCAATAGTTTGTAACACTTAGAATTTATGTTGAAGAAATCATGATTTCGTGGAATTGTCTGGTGCTTTGAGCTATTAGCTGCATCTGTAGTTTTGAGTCCTTTAATAAAGGATACTTCTTTTATGCTTTAGAAATTCTCAAATTCTAAAGGTGTTGTACTTCAAAAAAGACAAAGATATCTTTGATGCAGAGCTGAAATGGAGGCAGTTGTCTCATGGTTCTAAATCGAGTGATTTAAAAGTACACATTTCAAAACTGAAGAGCTCCACTGAATAATAAAATTACTTTTAGATGTGTGATTTTCGCCAAAAGGGATAAGATTTCTAGGATTCCGCTTCTGATTCATTTCTTTAGAATGAAGCAAAGATAATACTAAGATAGATTTTCTTAAAAGTTTTTGTTCCAGTTAAACCAAAAACTTGATAACCACCGAATATGACTTATTGACCCTGCCTTTAATTATCCTACTTTTAGATTGCATATTTTGATATGTTTCTGTAGACATCCTACACTTGAGTTCTGGCAGCAACTTGCCTGTCTAGGCTTGTAAGCAGGGCATCTCCATTACCTATTGAACAAAGGATTGACATCAGTAAGTAGTTTTTGTGGTTAATGTTTACTTACATTAGTTTCATCTAAAACTTCTTGTTATCTCAGTAACATTCAGTGGGAAGCCTATTTTTTTCTTTTTCTCTAGGTCTCTGCATTTATTAAACTTGCCCATTAAGTGGTTGCTGTGGGAGTAAGAACCGAAAGGTCACTGCGAATTCTTTAGTCATTTCTCTGCAAGTAGTTTACATATTTCTGAGTTTCTGAATTAAATTAAAATTAATTTTCAGGTTACTTCACTTCAGGTTTTTTTTTTTGAAGTTCATTTTTGAGGGCATACTTTGTCTTTATCCCACAAGATAATGAAACAATTTAGTTCATGTATGTAAAGGATCATGGAATCATCGAATGGCCTGGGTCGCAAAGGACCACAATGATCATCTATTTCAACCCCTGCTATGTGCAGGGTCGCCAGCCACCAGAGCAGGCTGCCCAGAGCCACATCCAGCTTGGCCTTGAATGCCTGCAGGGATGGGATAAAACTTGCAGGTATTGTTAGCATACCCACAAGTCGCTTATGGGTGATGTTCTTAGTGATCAGCTCTTCAGACCAGTGCTGATATTTGCAGAAGGGGCAGGCAAACACTTGCAGCATTAAGATCCTACAGTTTTCCTTGCTTTTAAGGATCTACCTTAAAGTCATTGCTGTATCCTGGAAAAGTGAGCAAGTGTGAGTGAAATGTTGAATACTGAAAGGCTTTGCATGAGAAGCATGTGGTGTTTGAGCAAATCTGCACTGTTATATTGGTTCTGTAGGTAGCAGTGCTGTGAAATGCGTAGTGGAGAAACCACTTCTAATACAGGTGTTCAGTGTTCTGTTAGATACCAATTCACTTTCATCAACTTTAATTAATGTTTTAACATCTTTTGGAATGGATTAAACTTCCTGCTAGTTACAAGTGTCTGTCAGTGAAAAGCGTGTGCGTTGGTCAAGGGAACACTCTAGATTGAATTGGGGTCTCTTGTCTGAGAAGACTTTGATATACGTTGAGCTGGTTCTGAGAGCTGCTGTTCTATCCTGAAATATTCAGTGCCCCAAATATAAGGCCATAATGAAAAATCAGTGTCATTCCTGGCAGCATTCCTTGACTTTACGGACTGTTGTCATGTGTTGTGCGGAGATGGTGTATGTGATGTGCTTTGTGTTACTAAATGCTTACCTTACCTGTATTGAGCGCTTAAACATAACTTACTCCCTGTATTAAACAGAAGACTGTAACTTTTAAAAAATCCCTCCTTAGGTTTACTGTTATTATTTTTTAAATGAAAGACGTACTGTTGATTTCAAAATCCTTTTTTTTACAGGAAGTTGCCTTCTGAACTATGTAACTTCTCAACCCAAACTGGCTCCTTTTGTCACACAAGCTCTTGTTCAAGCCATTGCTAAAGTTACCAAATTAGGATGGTTTGACATACTGAAAGACCAGCTTGTCTTCAAGACATCATTGCTGATGTGGAAGAATTCTTGCAGGTAGGAAACAGTCATGCACTTACATGTTGAGGTGACTTCATTTGAAGTGATTGACGTGTCACTAAGTTGTTTTGAGTGGAAAAAATGTGAAGAGAACTGCTTAAAACAGAAGATTGTCCTGCGTTGAAGAAGGGAGCGGCTTTGATGCGTGTGGGGATGGCTTTGGTAAGTTAACTGATGTCACACAACATTCATAGTGCTGCCATGTTGTTATTTACTGACTGACTGATTTCCAAAGCACTTTTTCACGGTATGATTAACGTGAGCCCCTGTTACTGATCTGTTCTTTTTAATGTTGTCATCTCTTTTTAAAACTGTGGTGGAGATACATTTCTGGTGTGGTGTCAGCTCCACTTACCTGATTAGGAAGCACTGCTGCTCTGCTGTGTGAAGAGTAGGCCTGTCAGATGTGTCAGGCTTTAACCTCAGCTGTGCTGAACTGTTCAGTTCTAGAACCAGTTCAAATGTAATTGCTGTCACGGACCACTGGTCAGAATGATACATTTTTAACTACTTTTTGGAATGTTTACTGTTACTGTTTTTTACTGGATTTCTGTAGGAGCAGTGAGACTTTGCCTGCACTTTAGTAGTTTTAGCGGAAATCACCCGGTACCTCGATAGCTTGGTAAAGATACAATGGCAGAGTGCAAATCTGCAAGACACATTGTTACATGGAAGATTGTTAATCAGTTCAGATTTTTTGTAGCTGTTACTTTGCCTATTTTAGTCTAGTGTTTAAGGTATTGTGAAAGTTACACATTTCAGAAAGTAATGTGGGGAATCTGGGGAGGAATGGTAACTACGCTTCCCTTTAAAACAGTTGAATGAGGCAGTAATGCTTTTGTTTTGCGTTTCCTTCCGTCTGATTTCCTCTTCTCCCACTGTGCTGGTGGAGAAGTAAACTTTTAATAAAAAAGAATAAATATATATATATAAAGAATATATATACTGTGTGTGTGTGTACATATATATACAGTATTTGAAAATTTGAGAGAATTTCTTACAAAGTCAGGGTGCACTTTGCACTGTTCACTAAGCAAATTTACACGTCAAATTTAGAGCAAGTACTGTCAGACACAGCAGGAGGTAAAGATATGGGATATACAGCATCTTCTGGGATAGAAGTTGAGAGGCAGCAATTGCACGTCGTGGCTTATTAACCAGTCTGATTTTATATATATAATGGATATGAAAATATCCTTCGTGAGCTTTTGGGGAAATAACAGATCTGTGTTAAAAGTTATTTCTGATCAGTGTTTCTGAATATCTGTGTAGGTATTAAACCTAATACTTGTGAGAAGTAGGTATCGGAGAAGTTGGAGATTATGAGATGTTTGGAGATCTACTTCTAAAGTGATCTGTTACGTACATTTGTGTCAGTGATCTTGGCAACTCAGCAAGAAAACAGGAAGTTACAGTTAATTTCTTGCCATTGAGTCTGTCATACTCGTTTTTCAGTCTGAGTTTGTTCATAGTCCTATTCAAATTAATGTAGTTTCTAAGCTACATTGGGAATGTCTAATAAAAGATAATATGCAATATCTTTTTTATTAAAAACAAACTCAAGTATAGCACTCCACCATTTTGCAGTAATTTTTATGAATCTACTGTAATTGGGTTTTGCATTTATTATTAAAATGATTGCAGTATGACTCTTCGGTGTATAGTTCATTAAAGATGGAGATTTAAATACAAAATTTAGCTGCTAAGAGATTGCTTTAGTTAAATTAAGAATTCCTGTAGCAAAGAAAATTAAGCAGTATATCTACTGGCAAATTAAATTTATATTAGAAAAAAAAAATCCCTAAACAATGGTAGCTTCAAATACTTAGAAAGTTCATCCAGTGTGAATTTGAGTGTGATTTAATATGTAAAAAAGGGTAATAGCAGGTAGGTGTGTAATCATGTTCTCAGTTCCGCCGTAGTTCACCGCACAGCTTTCCTCAGCAGTGGGAAGGGGAGGTTGCATCTTCCCATTCTGTAGATTTGTAGATCCAAGGAACATTCATACCAAATGTTAAAGAGACTTGAGCCTTCAAATGATTAGCTGCTTAATCTTATTGAAGGCAGGGCAACAGGAGAGATTTTGGCTGAGAGCTCTCTGAACTTCTTCTGACTTCTTTTGGTGTAAATGATAATGCAAAATAGATGTCAGTGAAGTTAGGCTGGTGAAAAACCAGATTGTTCGTTAGTCGAGCTTGAGTTGCTCTTCAGCATTGCCAAAATGGTGATTTGGTTGTGACAAAAATGAATTGTGGGTACCAAGGATGCTGAAGCTGTGGACTTCAAATTTGAAAGAAGACACAGGTCTTCTCATTGAGTCAGTGATAAGGCCTAGTTGCAATTGAAAAACAAATTTATTTCTTTAATAATAAATGCTTTGTAATAGCTCAGTTAAGACAGCCAGATGCAAGTTCCAGTCACTGTGAGTTTCAAAGTGTTTTGAGGAACTCACCTGCATCTGAGTGTGTGATCTAACCAGTGTTTGATACCTGCTGCTTTGCTTTCTGCACAGGTTCCTGGAGATGGAATATGTCATTAAATTCAAAGCAATGCTTTGTAGATTGTTGTGGAGAGGAGAGAATGAGGTTTGGGATAAATACCATTTCATAACTGTATTTATTTTCTCTGAGGTCTCTTTCATCCGTGCATGGCTTAATTTTTTTATGGCTTGAGTTTCATGCAGCTTGCTGTATTGGTTCTGGAAGGCTGAACAAACCTTTAGAAAACGTGTAATAGTGAATTTCTTGATTGCAGTTGATTAAACTCTCTTCAGACAGTTTTATGTTATCATACAGTTCTTACACGTTCTTTTTCCAGATCTGATTAGAGAGCTTGAACGTCTAGTTCTATTAATGTGATAGAGATGTGTGTGAAAGCCTTCTAAACAACTAGGTTTATCTCAAACTAGTAATTACTATTGACTTGAGAAATGTTGAAAAAATATTAAATAAAGCAGTGAAGTTTGAGCAATCATATCTGGGTTTCTGTTGTTTTTGTTTTTTCTTTAGGACACTGTGGACCATTGTATCATAGGAGTAATGATTCTCTCAGAACTGACTAAGGAAATAAATCTAGTAAGCACGTTTCTTTCCTTGTGCAAGGGGTGTAATTGCTGATGAAGCAGCGCATCAAATGCATCTTCCTTTCGTAAAAGTGGTGGGAGAAATATTATGTAGCTACAACCTGTTTATCTCCTCTTCCTTCCTCTTCCAAAATATGTCAGGAGACCAGAAATTCACCACCCCCTAACAGATGTGTGCCATGTGTGGAACTAATAAAGAGAACTGAATAATCGGCTCTTTTGGTTGTGTTGCTGCTAATGATTGTCCTTTTCTATCTTGACCCAAAGAAGTGCTTCAGACCTTTCCATCCAAAGGTACAACCTTGAAGGGTTTAAAAAAAAAAAAAAAGGCATTTCAGGAAGTTGTAAAGGTCTGTAGGTCTGTATTTATTGCTGAAGTTAGTTTTTATTTTTAAGTGCAAAATAATTAGCCTGCCAGGTGCACACACAGTCCAGTTGTAGCTGAGAAGGGAGCATTGTTGATTATGTCATAACTTTTCCTAGGCTGATTACTCAAGACCTTCAGCAAAACATCATAAATAGCAACCCCATTCTTGGCACCTCTTTAAAGGACATACTGGTGCTTGCGTGCTCTCTTTTAAGAGAGGTGAGGCTCTTCACAATTAAGCTTAAGTTCATAGCATCCTGATTGTCGCAGCATGAATCACTAGTATTTTCTTAATCAGGGGGTTTATGTGTGGCCCAGTGAAGCTCAAGACCTAAAAATGTTCAGTGGGAAAATGTCCATCTCCCTTCCTCCATGTCTCACTTGCTCTGCGTTTCTGTCCTCCCCGTTTGGCACAAATGGTGAACCATCTAATTCTGAATGATGTTTGAATGTCTTCCCTTTGTTCCTTTTTATTTTCTCAGCTTCATGTAGTTTAAACTGTGATCAAAGCTGGAATTTGTTTTTTTTAATCAATTAAAGCTTTCCACAGCAGCCGAAGTGGCGCCATGAGGAACCATTCTACTTGAGCTCAATCAACTCAGTGCTTTTGAGAGGAGCTCGTTGTTGAAGTGTTACCTGGCTCCAGTTCTTTAACTCCTTTGGGAGGAGTGCTGATTTGTTCACTTTTTCTGAGAATCCAGCAAGTTGGGTGTTGACATTTGGACACTGGATTTCATGCTGTGAATTTAAATGCAGGTGCCGTGATGGTATGTCAGTAGGTAATGGTAATGGGGACTTTTTAGAAGGGTATGACACTCAAGGCTCAGACAACTGATTAAGGTACTGCTGTAAAAAGCAAGGAAAATTGTCTTGGTTTAAATTTCTTTCAGTTTGTTGTAGGCAGACTAGTGTATTTTACCTCATTCTTGCAGTAGGTTTAAATGGTGCACGTGATCAGCTACCAGTACTCAGCTGAGGGGCAGTTTTTTAACACATATAACAGTGTGTGAGTCCTTACTTCTAAAGCGGTGTGCTATGCTGATGGAGAAATCATATGCCATTTAAAAGAGGAACTAGATATTTTTGCAAGAACATGCCATCTTCTTGGATACAGTAAATGCCATTACACATGGAAACAGTAAATGTGTTTATGGGAACTTTCTAGCTTCTTTCAAGTTCAGCTGGTCTGCAGGTGCCTTTGTAGCCTCTGCCATGTGAAGAGGCTTGTCGGAGTGACATCCCGTGCAGCTATTGGGACAGAAGTGTATGAAAACTATAATTGGCATCTTTATAGTTTAGCATAGAAAGCTGATTTTAGAAATATTTATCAGCATCTATAGCACATTGAAAAACACGCTCAGATAATAATTAAAGAATCATTAAAATAATTGCAGCCTATTGCTTGCAAGAGCCTAGAAGTTAGGAGAGGAGTGGCAGCAAAATGGTTGATATCAAAGCCAAGTGAATTTAATGTCAGTACTGATCTCATGCAATAGTTGTTACAGAGTTAATGAGGCGTCTAATGACAGTTAATGCTGATTCCTGTTATCTTTGTTTTGTTGATCAGCTTGAAGGTGAGACTTGGAATTCAAGTAAACGGCAGATGATTACGATACAAAGTTGTTGCATTTCTTGTACAGTTTTTCTAACAAAACGTGTCCTTACAGCATTAAGGAACCATGTCAGTGACTGGTGAATTTGAGGTTTGTTTTTGATGCCTTTGTATTGTGCTTGTAATTTCGAAGCAGTAACTTTCTTTAAGATAAAACATTAAATTTTCATTATTACAGTGAGAAATAAATAAAAATGTATTCTTGCTGTGTGTTCAGTGTAGATTTCTGAATCCCAAGAGCTTGTTTTACTTAACAAGTACCTTTTTATTCTGACAGTACAGATGCATTATATTTGCATTGTTACTGCAACAGAGACAGCTGTTTACTACTGTAAATAGCTGAATTCAGATTACATTCAGACTGTTCATTTTATTTTATTTTTTTTTAATGTGAGACTTTTCTAGACATAGCAAAGGAATAGTGTGAGTATATTAAGTGAAATCGTGTTGTTTAGCAGGTTGGACAATCGTAGGCATTGAACTGAAAGATCACCGATTGCTGACACAATCCTTTCCCATACAATGTATATGGTAGATGCTCCACGCTGGTCTGGAGTAACCACAAAGCATGAAACCTTACAGTTTGATTTTTGCAATGAGCATTAGCAGTATTTTAGCAGGCTTTATCACTGACGTGCCCTGTCTTATCTGTAAGTACTTAAAATTTTTATTTCACTGACTTTTAACAGTTGTTTATAAGGCTGAAAGCTTTAGCTTGACATGAATGATGTACCTCAGGTGGTAGTAGTAATTTTTCCCTTGTCTTTAAGGATAACTCCATGTCTTATATTTGAAGGATTCCTTTTTTTTTTCTCTTAGTGTGTGGTCTCTTGCTGTGAACTTTGAAGTTTCTTTTCAAAATTGTTTTCAAAACATGTTCTATGCAGGTCACCTGACAAGGTGATTCCTTGGCCAAACCTTTGACCCTTTGCGATCGATGGCAACGAAGTCTAGCAGTGCATCTGTTGAAGCTTGTACTAAATTGTCAATTTTGATTTCATTGGAAACTCAGCTAATGAATCTGCAGATGACCTATGCACTGTGCAGATTCCAGGAAGCTGGAGAAGAAGTAAGGAAGAATTGCATTGCTAGTAGTTGTAAGCATTCTATACCCACTGTATTGTGTAACTTCTTTTGTCACAATACTTGTACATAGAGAATATTTGCTATGTGTGGCTTTCTTGCTGATGAGTTATTAGGAAATGTTTTACTATTTGTGTTAAGCTTTTCCTATTATTACTTCTACAGACAAATAATGAGTGTGGTCTATAAGTAGGTATTCTCAGTAAATGAGATTAACTAAAGACTGAACACTGTTCTCATCCCTCAGATAAGAACACCTTGAAGAGGTACAGCACTTGTAGCATGTCTAATTTATTGCCTCTTCTTCCTGCTGAGAAAATCATGTATTAAATGTGGTTGTTTGCACTAGAATATGAATTCATTAATGAAGGCAGCAGGAGTGTTATGTTCTGGTTTTTAGACTCTAAAGCTTTGACTTCACAAAATTGCACACTGCAGATGGCAATGTAGTATGGATACATCCAAGTTAGCTCATTACCTGGGGTAATGAAAGCAGTTTAGCACTAGCAACAGGGAGCTCTTTGTGAGCTAATTTGTCTTTCTTCCTGCCAAATGATCCTGTTTGGAAGTCTGCTTTACTTCTGACAAAGCTTCTACGTTGTCTCCCTGAACCAAGATTGGAGGTTTAAATGTGTTTTACTTAGAACCACGGACAAAGCTGTGTTGGAAGGGACCTCCGGGAATCATCCAGTCTGACTCCTGGCTTCACGCAGCATCACCCACATGCTGTGTCTGAGAGTGGCGTCCAGATGATCCTTGGGCTCCGGCAGCTTGGGGTCGTGCCCACTGCCCCGGGCAGCCTGTGCCATGCCCACCACCCTCTGGTGCAGACCCTTTCCATAACCCCTACCAGACCCTCCCCCAACACATCTCCATGCCATTTCTGGGGTGCAGACAGCAGAGCTCAGTGCTGCCTTCTGCTCCCTCCTTGCTCTGGGCTGAAAAAACAAGGGACCTCAGCCACTCTTCCTGTGTCTTGCCTGCCAGCTTTTCCCCATCTTTGCTGCCCTGCTTGTATAACGTGACACTGTAGTGTTTGATACTACTTTTGATTTCAACTGTATTATTCTTCATCAATTTCCATTCCTTTTAACTTAATGTACTGTAGGCTTTTGTCACAGCATGAGGCATATTAGATATGTGTGCCAAGCAGGGAAATAGTGATGAAAGGCTGAATTTGTTCAAGTAACTGTAATTGGCTACGAGACTTTTTCAAGATTTTACATAGAAGGATTTCCCTTTTCCTGATTCAATGCAAACAGTGTATAAGCATATTAACTTGTATTTTTTGCCTGTAGAAATATAGTGCTTATAAACGGAACAACTTCAAATGTTACATCTCTTGTGGGGCTGCATAATGGTGAATTGTCAGTGCTCTTCTTTCTACGCTGTTTTTACTTCTTCATGAAAGAAAGTAGTGCTATAGTTCGCTTGATACGCTTCCATGATGACCTGCTAATTCAGTCTTTAAAGTTTTCTTTTCTGTGAGAGGCTACCAAAATATATGTTTGCAGACTCTAGCGTAGTCTGTGGACCTTTAGCTGAAGACTTGCCTTTGCTTACATATGCCTCAAACTAATCCTTCTTGCCTGGTGCCTGTTTTAGTGTTCTGCTGTAGCAACCCAAAGACATCACGTGATGGTTACCTACGTATGGTACAGAACAGCTTTCTGCAGGCAACTGAGAGTGTTCTGCATCGTGTGTGGTTTCAGGGAAATATTCTTTGAGCTGTAGGACAGATGCAATACAGAGAGAATGGTGTTTTGTGTGATATTGTGCAATGAATATTCAGTGTTTTTGTGAATAATAAAGATGATTCTGTTAAATATACTTAGTTATTGCTGGCAGAAAATAATAAAACCTACTTATCTTTTCCTTTAGCCTTCCTGGAGCCAAAGACCTTGGGCCTGTTTTTTGATTTGTGTCATTGCCTTCCACCAATGTTGGCTCGGTTAGTAAGTGACACAAGATTTACACTAAAATAATGACAGTAGTCTTTTTTCTTTTTTACATTTATACTGTGTTCAGATGACAAGTGTTTCATTCTGTGCATGAACATATAAATTATGAGTCCCACAAGCACTGATTCAGCGCCCAGTCACAATGTCTTCTTTGAACTTTGGCCTTAGTTCTCATTTCTAAATTTGAAAGTGTTCAAAACCCATGAATTTCAGCATGACTCTGCCACGTACAGAGCATCCACCTAATTATTTTGATGAAGTTGTAACCTATTGCAAAAGAGAATTTTAAAACTGAGCCGTAATTGTTCACAATGATCTTCTGGACATTGCTGAAGGAATAATCTTCAGGTACTGAATGTGCTACAGACACAGTAGATTCGTTTGATTCAAGGAGTAAGATAATAAATATATATATACACATATTATTTTTTTTCCAGAATAATATATTATTCTTACATTTATTTTGTTCTTTCTTTTCCTGCTTAGTTCAGTTTGCTTCTACAAGGAGATCTTTATTCAGCAATCCAGAACGTGCCAGGTATCTTGGTAATCTAATCAAAGGAGCGAAACAAATACTTGAAAATCCACAGGTATCTGTCTGTCTATTTGTGATTCTGTTTATTTGGAATGCTGAAACAGCTGTGGGCTTGTTTTTGCCTGTCACATTTGTCATTCATTTACTGTATCTATCAAAACCACTTTCAGCCTGCCATCTGTTTGCTTTGCTTTACTATTCAAAATAAAGCAGAAATGCTGTGCAAATGAAATTGTCACCTGATCAGCCACAGCGCTCATAAAAATTCTACTAAATTAAACTGTTAGCTTTTTAAAAACTTGCTCCTTTGAATTTAGGGTTTATCTGATCCCTTGAATTCTGTCGGTTCTTGGCTCAGCTGATGACAAACCATCAACTAGGAGAGTTAGTGACAGATTACCCAGAAGTTATCCAGCTCATAGCAAACTGTACTGTTAATGGCCTACAGGTAGGAACGCATACTGAAGTTTTCTGTTCTGTTCTACTTTTGAAAGACAGAGAAGTTGATCCCGATTTGCTTTGTTGATTTAGGTGTTTTTTGAGGATGTGGTGAGCCTTGATTTGACATAGAAATGTATTATTAGTGATGCAACATCACACAGATGCAATATCACATAGAAGTATATATTAGTGATGTTACTTCTAAAATCTTTGCAGCTGGTTCCCATTATGCCTACGGAGTTCTGTAATGGGACTAGGTTTAAAGGAGGAATAGATGACTGAAATAGGACCTAGATGTTAATCCTCCAGCTCTAGTCCTTACCCTAAAAAAAAAAAGGCAAACTAGACCCTCTGTCCAGGTCTAAAATGCTTGAACCTGTACTCCCTTTTGAACATAGTGCCTACACTGACTAGATGCTCGAAGCTCTGGTTTTGCATCTTTGCATCTCTAAATTTTTGTGTACATACATAAATAAACGTGTATATGTATATGTACAGTTGCCTATATGCTAAGCTGCTAAGTTGGATTCAGAAACTGGGTGAAATAGAGTCTAAATTTGTGAGGGGTCCCTGCATACCTGTGAAAGATGTAGAGGAAAGACCTGATCCTGGAAGACAGGATCAAGATTCTCACACTTCTTAAAAATCTTACAGATTTTTTTGGGTGTGCCCACTGTTTGAGTAACACTGTGATTGTTAATTTACTGTTTCCTTTGGAAGCTTTCTCTGTTCTTCGTTACAGCAGTGGAAGATAATACCCAGGAGTAGGGTGCTGCTCCTGTAGGCCAGAGTGTCAGTGGGTAGCACACTGCAGTAAGTGTGAGCGTGGTCTGTGGTGTGTTCCATAACATCTCAATTCTGACAGGGTCCTTCAGTATTTAGGTGAGTGAATAAAACTGCTCAAGATAAAAGCATTGTATTTCACAAGTAAAATTTCACTCTGGGGTGCTCTAACAGATGTTTTGGTTTCTTACAGCACTGGGAGTTTGCTCCAAATAGCGTTTGTTATTTGGTAACTCTGTGGCAAAGAATGGAGGCATCTGTACCTTTTGTGAAAACAGCAGAACTCTGCCTCTTAGATCCGTGTGCACCTGAGATAACAAAAGCTTATATTACCTCCAGACTGGAGTGTGTTCCTGCAGTAGTAAGGTAAATTTGTAATTGCAACTGTTGGAACTGTAACACAGAATGTTTAATTTTCAGTTGTATCAGTTTGTTACATTTCGGTTACGTTTAAAACTCTGATTCTGATTACCAGGGCAGTATCTTACTTGGTTGACACCATTTACTCTGCTTACTAAATCCAGGTCAATATCAAATGTTGGTTCTAGTTCTTATTCCTCTTGCAGTCTCTTCTGTTCTTAAAAAAGCCTTTTTTTCCTTCTATGCACATTGCTCTGAAAGTAATGCCTTCTGTTTATTTCCATGGAAACTACAACAGAGAGCTGAAGAGCACATTAGCATTATTTGATAGAGAAAATTCTCAGTTAGTAAACACTGTTTTGGAGCCTAGTACCCACCGTTTGCTCTGCATTTTTGCCAGCAGTGAACAAGAGCTGCTTGGTGTCCTTTTAAAGATCCGCACCAGTGGAGGTCTTCCACTGTTTCACATCTGCTATGATGGTGGTGTTGCTAAGAAAATGTTGCCTAAAGAGTCCATCTTTCATGAGTTCTAACAGATGCAAGTCAGAAGGCACCACGTCTGGACTGTACAGTGGTTGTGGCAGGACTTAGAAGCCACGGTTGGCAATGGGCTGCATGTTCTTCAGACTGGTATGGGGCTTGGCATTATCATGCTGCAGGAGAAAGGTCATGATCTTCTGCATGAGTCTGGAAGTTTGAGCCTTCCTCTTAGTCTGTGTCACACTGCACCAGTCAGAATTGATGGTTTGCCCAGTTTCCAGCAAGTTCAGACTCATCACCCATTTCCTGTCCCAAAGACTGAGCACATCTCTTTACCTCCTGAGGGGGCATTTTGAATTTTTTCTTGAATGGGAAATTTGTGTCTCGTCACCCTATGGGCTGCGGTTTTGGCACCAACTGGTAGTGACATGACATCTCCTCACTGGTAATGCTGTGTGATCCAGGAAACTGTCCTGTTCAGATTTCTGAAAGGATTTAGTTTTTTGAGGGCTTTCATGGATACCTGTTAATGAGATACTGCAGGACTGCGGAATAAGCCACATCTGCTTTTCTTTCTCAGTTTTCTTTTGCTGGGGTATATTTGGTCTGCTTGTATGAGGAAGTACATTCAGTTTCACCATTGTTATCCTTTTGTCTCAACTTGGCCAAAATCTCATGCATGCATCTCTTCTCATCTCATTTTTTAGTGGCTAAGCTGCTGTTGGTATTACCTGCGTGAGGTACGTTAAAGGTTCCTGATGACTCAAAGTTGTGTGCCTCCAGCACTCCAAAGCTAGAAACAGGAAGAAGCAGCAGCTTGGTGTATATGCAGTTTGTTTTCTTGTGCCATGTCTCAGGCAGATTAAACTTCCTTGACATTTTAAGTCATATTTTCTGTTCTGCTTTTCTGCACTCTGTGTTGTTCTTAAGACAGTCCTGACATTGCTGTGAGCATGTAACCTCCTGCTGCTCTAACTGATGCATCTTTCTGACGTTGTCGTACTTTCTTTTGTGATGAAGATCCTGTTATGGCATTTCAGTAGACAGCTGTATCAAATGTAGTCTTTGATAGTAAGTGTCTAGACAGTTCTTGAGAAACACGGGATGTCTGGGAGCTGATCTGTCAAGAATTCTGTTTGCTCCAAGGACGTTAATTGGTATCTTTGTCAGTAGGTCTTGCTTTCTGCAGTGATCATTTTCCTTACAAGCCAGTATGGGTGATAATATCACCCTTCATTAAGGAGGTTATACATTCAGAGAAGGATGCCCAGCTGTTCTGTATCTTTCAAAATTGAGGTGTTAGCACTGGGCACATTAATATGTCCACGTGCAGAGGAAACCAGCCAAAGAGAAGATACCTCCATCCATACTATGAGTAAACCTTTCAATACCAAGGAGATGTGTTCTGCCTGGAAAGAAGTAATTTCCTTCTACAGTGCTCCACGGTCAGTGTGCTCACTGATTTGATTGCCTTTCTACCTGAAGTAGAGCCCAAGCACCGAGATTTCAGCTTTCTTTGCTGTTTCTTTTGGGTTTTAAAGTTCAGTGTAGACTTTTATTTTCACAGCCTGCTTGTCTGATTGACTCCTGAGCTCTGTGTTCACCTTGCAGTCATGCTTACATTCCTTTACAAAAAATAGGATGCTTTATCTGTACCCAGTGAAACGTTTCTGAAGACTCTACAGATTGTTCATTGCCTGCACAGCAGCAGCTTAACCTGCTGATGGGTAAACTTCTCCTACTGTGATTTGTGTAATAAGTACAGTTATACTTCACAGGAAGAGCTATTGCTCTTTTTGTTAGAGGTATTTCTTGTAGAAGAACCCATAATAAACATTTATAAAGCAACTGCATGAAATTTTACTGAAACTTCTTGGCTTTGATATCATGGTCTTGTACTTAACTTGATGGATGTGCAGAATCCCCTTCTGCTGCGTATTCCATTCTTTCCCACAGTCATCCTGTGAGAAATATGCTGCCTGTATATTCAGGCATAGGCACAAAGGACCTCAGATTTTCAGGATTTACCTTTGTGTTCATACTGCCGATCTCATCTCCTATCTGCCTTGTAGTTCTTTGCATTTTAAGCTGTACATTAAGAGGGTAGCACAAATAGAATACTGTTCTGATGGGTGGGGAGGGGTATGTGTGTATTTAAAATGAGGGCTTACATCTGTCTGTTGTGTACACCAGGTGCTATGGCTTTTATATACAGCTCAGCATTTCAGTGACAGTTGGGCAAGATCCAGATGGGAAAGCGAAGAAGGAGCTTTCAGGCAATGTGATTAAGTGGTTACTTTTTATTTCTATTCTAGAGATGGCCTGGAAGATTCACTGCATGATATAGCTACAGTTTTCCAACAACTGGAGCAACTATGCAGTTAGCAGGTGTGGATGTGAAAAGATCTGTGCACTTCTTGGACAGTTGTTTGACCAAAATGCCCAAAACTACCGAAAACTATTGCACTCCTCTAGTAGGAATCCATTAGAAGTCACAGTCCAGGAAGGTCAGTATTTAATGTTTAGATTGTTTTATGTGCAGTATAAATATCCTTGCATATGAAAGATTTATGACTTTACAATGATCTTATGGCAGATGCCTCTCCATCTTTTCTGGAACTAGAAATTCATGTTCCAAGTGACCTTGCACCACATTTTCGCTGGTTGTCTTTATGTTGAATAGATAGATGGATGGTTGATACCTTTAATATCTTGTTACATCTTTAAAGTATAGACATGAGAGCTCTAAAAACTCTTTAAATTTCTGAACATCAACCTATCAGTGCCCCAGATGCCTAATAGGAGCCAGCTGCTATTTGAGCATTTTCTGGAATTGAAGATCTTAACATTTTTCTTCCTGCATTTATCCATCTGTAAAAACTAAATTTACTTTTAAAACTTTAGCTTACATTAAACAATTCTGTTAAGATGAATTACCAGACTTCTAAGAAACCCAATTCTTACTGCGTAAGTTGTAAAAGTAAGTAGTACTTCTGATGTATTTTTGGGTACCTATTTCAGAGCTCTGTATCTCACCTAACTTAACTTTACAACTACTGGCTCTTTCTTGATGAATTATCTTACATGTGTTGCATCTTTACACGGATAAATGGTGTTGTTTTGACAAGGTGAGACAGCTTACTTGTTACACTGCTGTTTCTTTGCAGGCTTTTAAATATTTATGATATGTTTTGCTGTTCTTCCTTTGACAATTCAAATTCCTTCTATGTAGGACCTATTTTTTCATTGATGCATATAAAACCTTTCACTTACCTGATTTTATTTATTCCACTTTCTCCCATGCACCCAGCAACTTCTGTGTGGGAGAACTTCCACTGACTGACCTGATTTCATTGACTAGCTGCAGTCTGAGTTTGCACTGCATTACCCAATAAGGGGGACCAGAGGGATGGAATGAGTTGGAATCCTTCAGTGTTGGTGCTCTGGGGACTGTGCCTCTATGCATTAGGAAATACTTGATGCAGTTTAAATTTTGTGTTTCTTTTGTGTAAACAGAACACTTGTGCTCACGGAGAACAATAGCTGCTCCATCCCTTAGACATATGTAGTTAAATTTAGATGTTTAATGGCTTTTAATGTTGCAAAATAAGTTAATACCATATTAAGATCCCATTTTATTATACTGTCTTGCTCTCAGTATCAATAGTGATTTGGTCACGGTTTACTAAAACATAATCCCCAAGAAATGGGTCATTAGCAGTTGTTAATGATTACTCGTGATCTGTGGTAATGACTCATTTCTTTGGGATTATTGCTGTTATAAACCATAATTACAGATTATTACTGCAATAATTATTTTCTAAAAGAAAAGATGTTGTCTGCCTAGGTAGCTACAAAAGCAAATGCATTTTAAGTACTGAGGGTCTAAAAGAGGGAAAGAAGTTAAAACCTTTTAATTGTTGTTGCGAGAAGAGGGCGTCTTATCGTGTAACCAAACGCAAGCTGCTGCCATTTGCAAGAGGATGTGATGTGGGTTTTTATTTTGAAAAAGATTATTGGGCAAAGTGATTGTTATGGTGTTTGAAGAGGCTTCATAGTTTGTGATACTATCTTCAAAGTGCTATTCTTTAGTAGCTGTTAATGCTGATTTAATTTGAGCTCTAATTGTTCTCTCAGACGCTTCAGCTGCTCAGTATTTAGTTAGTGATGGTGTTAATCTCTCCATGTCTTAGATTAACAGCTGTTTGTACTGCAATCTATGATGTGTGTTTGATGAAGTTTCGCTTGGAAATGTTGTATTTTATGTTGGTTGTGGGTCCGTGGTGTCAACTGCTCTTACAGATAATAATTATTTGGAAATGGAACAGCAAAAATGCAAGAAGATGGTTACAAGTTTTCATCACATCTCATCTTAAAAGTTGACACTTTTCTGTTTTCAGATCTTGTTGTGTATGTATTTCTGTGGTAATTTAAAAAAAAAAGAACTGAGATTTAAGATAAGCCCAAACTTGTCTTGAAATGGTCTGCGTTATTCCATATTCAGCATTATCTTTTACTGTATATTTGATCCCCCCCCCATCTTTGTTATGTCATGAGGTTTTCTTGTGCCTGCAGCACTTAGATGTATGGAATGCACTGTACCATAGGTATGACTGAAGCACAATCACTATGTTGAATTGTCATGTGATAAACCATGTTCAGGTCGTAAGGATACTGGAATGTCTCAGAGCTGTTAATGGTTCCTCACTGAAAGAGCTTGGGAAGCAGAGCATTCATTGCTTTCTCATTTCTGGATTTTTCCAAAATACAACCATGCTTAATGCGAGGAAATTGGGTAATATTTGATGTTGTGTGAATGGAGAGTAGTTTATCAGAGAACGTGAAACAGACTTGATACAAAACCTCAGAGATTTTGACAGGTACTGTTCTTATAGCAGTCCCCGCTTGTACGTAGAAATATTCAAGATAGAATGTTGGTTTAAAGCTGTGATGTGACCTCATTTGTTTATCTGTAATTTTTTGCTTATGTTAAACTTCAAAATGTGTTCTGAGGACTTCAAACTTTATTAATCAGTGTGCTGTATTCACTCTTGTAAGTTATGCTGTCATCGCTTGGTAAAATCCTAGTGATGGCGGTAAGAGATCTGGCTTATGTAAATCTCACACTTAGTGAGAACCCTTATTTCTAACTTGATGTAACCTGCATGGAAACTGTTCCAATTCATTTGTTATCACAGTCTTAGCTGTGTTGTTGTTTTTAATTTTGTTGGAATTCATTACAAAGTACCTTTTGCCAGATGAAGATGGAGTCTAAAAGTAGCTTTAGTGTTCTGTTGTCTCTGTGCATTTCAGTTGAGGAAGGAGTCTTTAGAGGTCCTAAAATATGTACAGATTTGTATGTTAGTTTGCCATTTGGATCTTAGCTTTGACACTGCTCTGCTGAGAGAGGATGCTGTTAGGTACTGGATTCACAGCTTAAAAAGCTGAAGCAGGAATCTGCTTGGCTTCTGTAGGTAGAAGTAGGTCAAAGATCATAGAAGTATGACACCCTAACTTGCCAGAGAGGTTAAAATAATCCAGACTTTGCAGTGTGGTAGTGAGCGTCCAGCAGAGCAGAGGCCAAAATAATTCTTTGTTTGATGTTTGTAAACTTGGATTCCATACTTAGAAAGCTGGATTTCAGTATTTAGCATCTTTATGGTCTGTGCTAAATACATAAGCTGAAGGATCTGCAGGATCAGAAAGAATGATGGGGTAGTATGAAGCAGAGACTTCTGGAAGTACGTGGTGGTTTAGAACTTCTTTTCATTAAGAATATGCTTGACTTAAGAAAATAAAGTTTTTCTTTTGTACAAATGATTTTTCACATTCAAAACAAGACTTTAGATATTAGTTGGACGTTACAAGTAATTATTTTAAATAGAGCAAAGAAAGTAAGCAGACTAGAAAGTCTCAACTGTTTCATAATGCTGTTAAGTAGATTCAGCTGCACCACAGTTGTATTCTGTGAAATAATTTGTAGCTGTGAAGATACTAGATTAATTATATGTCTTATCTTGAGCATGGTGAATTTGTTTTTTGAGTTTGTATGTGATTTGTATTTTAAGTTGGTTCTGTGCTGTTTTGTATATAAATGCATCCAGTTTAGTAAGCTGTTGTAGTTTATCTGTCAGTTCTCTTCAGAATGTTGGTTGAGTTCTCTGGGTAGGGTTTAAGTCTGAGAAGATAAGAAACTTAACCATTCTCTTGAGAGCATTCTATGGTCTATGATACCTTAAGAAAGCTCTGATGCCTTATGGAAGTGTATTGTACTACCATAATGGCTTGTCATCACTAACTGTTCTTTTCTTTTTAATGTTAGGACGTCTGGCACGGCGTGGGGGGAAGAGTAATGTACACTAGCTCTGTTGAACATGATGCTATGGATGGAGAATTAACCAGTCAGTAAGTATTGCTTAATTTTATTTCTGTTTTTATAATGTTTTAGTATCGACTGGTATTCACATCAATTAGTATTTGAACTCAACTGTCTCAATCCATTGTTTGGTTGGTGAGTGTTCCAGAATTGTGTGTTTCTGTGCAGTGCAGCCATTGCAGTGACTGTGATCTTTCCTCTGTCACCATCTTGAGTAGTGAAGGGGTCAGTAAGGCTGCTATCATGTCAAAGTTCTGCTGAAGAAGAATGGAAGAAGCCTAAAGGCAAACATGTCTCTTGCCATACTCAGTGTTGAGATATGATTGGATAGCTACTGGATATTTCTGTTGTTATATTCCTATAGGAGTATTAATTTTATTGATTGTGAGCTGTGGTTACTATTTTCTGTGCCGTTTCCTTCCTGCTAATTGAGAGTCTTGCAAGCAAAGGGGTATAGAGGAGCTGCTAGTCAACCACTGAAAGCTTGGGTGACTTTTAGACTAGAACTAGGAATAAAGAGGCAGCTTTAGATTTAAAATGTGTGTGCTGTAGTCCCTATTGTGCAAACTTTGAGGTTAAGGAGTATGCTAGGGAGTATAGCAAATTACATACATACTCTGTGGCAGGTAGAAAGGATGTGACACGCTTGATCCTTGTTTACACCCATTGTTACCTATGTTACACCAGGAGCATATGAGAAATGGCATGCATCGTTGATCCTGATATTTACACCAGCTAGCACACAAAAAAGGGCATGCAGTCTATAGTGGGATAAAAAGCTTTGCATTTTTTCCTGTTTCTTGCATTCCTCATCTGCCCTGGGGCTGTGCGGTGTTAGCAGTCTCCTGCTATGTTTTTATTAATAATACGATGTTTTCATATATAGACTTACAAATGAAGTGGCCTGCTGACTTCTGATCTAGTTACTCTGTGTTTCAGTATTGGGAAAGAGTGAGAATAACTTTTTGAATTGTTATGGAACTAAGATTTCAAGGAACTGATCATAGAAGAACATGAAAATGTAATAAAGTAATATGAAAAAAAATACTCTTAGCTGATTAAAACTGTAGTTAATTCTTTGAAATCAGTCCTGGTAAAGAGATGTGCACAATGTGAGAATTGGGATCAGAAAATACTGTATGGTTGTTTTAAGAGGCCGTGCATCATATATACATATAAAAATTTATTTCTGAGTACGATAGCTTCAATCTTCAGGGACCCTGAGACAACTCTTACCTTGCACTTTCAATTTGCTTTTGTTACAGTGAGAAATTAATGATCCAAGAACAGAAAGTATTTTACAAACTTGCCACAGCATAGCATTACGCATCTGAGAAAAATTTCAAGTGACAAAGTAATTAGAAAAGCATTATGTTGATGTTTTATGTTTAATAGTGGTCAATTAGCATAATTGGCATCTAAGCAGAACAAAATCCTGGAAGATACTTAGGCAAACAAAAAATGGCTGATGAGTTCCTAAAATTAGCTATGGTAATATCATTTAACCTGAAAGTCCATCCTGAAAACGTCTCCTTTTTTTGTTACCAAAGGCTGTTTCAGCTGATGCCTTTGGATGCCCAGGTACCACAGGCTGGTAATGAAAAAGTAGAACTGGCAATTCTGTGGTTCTTGGATTGGTTTCACAAACGTGTGTGGGGGAGCAGCCTCAGCACACCTCCGAGGTAACGTCTGCTCTGAAGAGTGACGTGAAAATGGAGCAGGCGTGTGGAGAAATGGACCTGACAGCACACCTGGAGCCACGTAAGCTGTGAGCTTAGCGGTGGTTGGTTGGATAGGTGTGTAATTTACTGGTGTGGTGTCATCGTGCTCTTAAGTTTAAGCATGCGAGGAGTGAATATTTTAACAGCTATGTTCATTAAACAATTCTCGGTTACTTTGCATTTCAATTTTTTATTTCAAACATTTAGCTGGGTTCTGCTATATTGTGTTATATTTCACAGCTGGGTACACAAGATTTATTCTTTTAATAGTTCTTTTCTTTTGACAGTTACTCATTTACGTGGTTTCCACTGTATTTCTCTCATTACTTAGCTTTTCTGCATTTTAAGTACGAAAGAGGGAAAAGTAAGATGCGTTTTTGAAGAAGCAGCAGTTAATTCACCTTAACTGTAGGGGACAGTCATAATATAGATGTTATAAAGAGAATGTCAGTAAGATGAGATCAATTGATCTTGGGAAAGACTGAGAGTTCTGTTGGGAGCCCCAAGCGAATCTTTAGCAAGAGTTGTGACAGTGACTGAGATCTGATTTTACTGCTGTAGTGCTGTATCCTTTTTTGTGATTGGCACCAATCTCAAGAATTCCTTTATCCCTTTGGGTTTGAACTGTACTTCAGCTTCATGGAATACTTCCTTACTTAGAATGAAAAATAGTGTTGCACTGTACTGAATTGCCTTCTCATGAAAATGATGTGTTCCTTTCAATTGTCAAAGCTGGTTTGTTATTTTTAAATATGGCACGATTCTCTAGTGCTAAGTGAAGGTACATAGCACATTTTTCTGGTATTTCCACCAGCAGAACTCCTACCGATGGCAATTCAGAGGCAAAGTGGCTGTATTTGCTGTTAATTTGATCTCTAATTCCCGGATTATTTTGTCTCTTTGTCCAGTTTTCATCAGGTTTGAGAATTTTGATTGTATGGTTTTCTGGTCTGACTGATGGGGCTCTCACTGTGTGGAAAAGTCCAGTCAGTACAGTGTGCTGTAACACTGTTGGGATGCTGACTGCCTAAGCTCCATGTCCTTCATTAGGGAAGGCTGGGAGCATTTCAGTGTGGGTAAAGCAGTGCACACCTGGAACTCCCTTCTCAGGAGATAAAATGCAAAATTTATACGTTTGCAAACCACCCTTGAGTTCAGTGCCTCTGAATTTATCTGACTCAGCAATGCGTTTTGAATAACCATAAGACTAGCTCTGTGATTGCATTGTGTGGAAGGTTAAATGGTTTGTTATCGAGTGAAGTGCTGCCTGATGTTTCCATTTGATTTATTGAAGAGCAATTAGATCAGAAAGAATTAGCTTTTACCCAAAGGGCTCAGTGTAAAACTGTAGGTTGAATTCAAGAGAAGATGGTGGTGGTGGTGATGGTAGTATTTTTTTCTCCTCTCCGTGAGTGGGCATGAATCAAACTGTTGCTATATCGGATTCCACGTTCTGCATATGGTTGTGACCTATGTGTTGTCAGTGACCAGCCCAGGAAAGTGGAAGGTTTGCCAGGGTGCCAAACCCTTCAAAGGCTGTTTCTAAATTCTAGACCCAGTCTAGCAAGTCTAGTTCGTTACAAATGCATTTTCGAGACGTCCTTTTCTAATGGTTTGCTTACAGTATGTACCAGCATAATTTAGTTTGCAGTCAAGTTACACTAATTGCATTTCCTTTTTTCTTTTCTTGTTTTTGTTTTGCTCTCATAGGCTGGATATAACAGCCTCCCATTTGCATTGATAGAATTCTGTGCTCCGTATCCCATTCCTTTAGCTGATCTTACAGTGAGAACTGTGTAAATCTTCTGAGCTCCTAGCTGTGGTTTTTTTCATTTTCAATTCTTAATAAAGTCATTGTATACATTTTGCAGTTAAGAGAAACCAGAAGGCAGCACTTGTATGATGATTCTTCTGTTCTATCCTGCTGTAGCAGCAAGTGTAGCAGCAGATGGCATTCTACCCTCACTGTTGTAAATCCCATGGTGCAGTGTGCTGCTGGCAGGTATTTACAAATACACAATAAAAAGGCTTGCGCTTGGTAGCAGAGATATCAGGCATATATCAAGTGACTGACTTAATACGTATCTCGATAAATATTCAACACTGCTTGAATGGATTTATTTACAGAATGTGTAATGGAAATTTTGCACGCTTCAGCCATGTTGAAGTAATCTCTAGGAATATTTCACCACTTAATCATACACTTGCATGCAGAAAATGGTTACAGAAGGCAGAGTAGTTGAACAAAATTGTGGAGCACACTGTGTAAGTAGATTAATTTTATACATTAATTGACTCATTTTTGCATCTATGCATACTATAAAAACAAGCCCATGATAGATGAACTTTGGGCTCAGTAAATAAGTGCATTCTTAGTAAACAGTCCATCCAGGCTGACTGTCTAAGGAAAAATAGGAACTTCTTGGAAATCTCTTCCTTGATACTGTGATATACTTGAAGTACCTTTGTGTTTCCAATACAAAAATAATACATCAAAATGCTATCTTCTGAATTTAATAGAGCATGTGAATGAGTAAATATTATATTCCTGTTAAATACTACACTGGGTTCTTTGGCATTGTGTAGCTCTATCAAGTTTCGTCTGTTCTGTTTTCTTCTGAGCTGCTGTAGGTGGAAATATTTGTTTCAGCACTCACTGTGTGTTTCTCAGCAAGGAGCACGTGCCTCTGCAATACCTGTGGGGCTTGATGCAACTGAGTATCAGGAATATCTTTGAGCATGAGAAAGTGGCAGAGAAGGCTGCCTGCTAGTCCCAGGGGTGAGGAAGCAGTGGGAGGGGTTTGTAACCTTCCCCAGCATGTTTCAAACCACTGCCGTGTTGGCAGCTGACAGCATGGGACGTCGTGGGGGGCTCTGTGTCTTACTGACAGTGTGAAATTGTCAAGAGGAGATCAAACTTTAACTTGCTGGAAACATTTTGTTAATAAATATTTCATAAGAGGTTAAGTAGCTAAGTTAGCTAATAGCTAACTCAGCTCATAACATTTCTGAACTGGAGAAAAGTTTAATATATATATGTGTATTGAAGTAAAGTTCTTATTGTTAGTTCCTTTGCACATTCAGGTTTGGTGTGAATGGTGAAATAAATGGCACTTAGCTGGTTAAAAAAACAAAAGTGATTGACAATAGAAATATTTAGTAGATTATGAGAGTGGTTCTATAGAAGAGAAAGAAATTGCATTTAAAATGTTCTGGCGTTGCATGGGCAGTGGAATTAGGGTA